GTCGGAGGTGTGTGGCGGCCGGATCCGGACAGGTCTAATGTAGTATAATCTCCATCACCTCCGCCCATTTAATTTTTCTTTTTTCCCAAAGCTTCCCATATTTGTTCATAGTTCTAACTATAAATTTCCCAGATTTCCCCAATTCCTCAATTTAATTTTATGTGTAAGAAAGTTAATTTTTGTGGTAATAATGGTTGAAGGAGATGTATGAGGGTTCACAGAAGGAAGTGAGGATTGAGGATCGGAAGAGAGTAGGCATAAGGATAATATGGGAAAGTCAAAGACAATTTCAACTTTTCTTAAAGTGCGTGCCGGGTCAAATCGAGAATTTCTTTTTTGGACGGAGGGAGTAATTTTTATTTAAAGTTCATCTAGTTTAACTTGAAAGGAGGGAGTAGTACATAATTTGGATCAAGTTTCAAATTTGAAATGGAAATGAAAAATGTGAAACAAACAATTAATTAATTAGAGTAGACCAAAGGAATGAAGAGAACCGGCAGGCCGGACATCCCTATAATAAAAATGCACCTCACGACCGGCCACATATTTTTGTTCTCATCCTATTTGCAATTAATTAATAATGACGTAAGTGGTGAGCCCACAAAGGTACGGCTAATGTACATGCGAACTACACAAATGATTTACATATGGTGACAAATCCACGGTTGCATTTATTTATGAATCTCAAACACTAGGGGACAAAATGTGTTGCAAGTAAGCATTGGACATTGATTGAATTATTGATGAACAACTAAGTACACCGCCCCTACATACATACATACACCCAATTCTCACTATATATATAAACATATATTTTGTACACACACATATAGGATTACACAAGACATGGACAGACCTAGTTCAATGCACTGTGTTATCCATTTAAAAATAAGATCGGAAAATGCTAGAATGCCTCCAAATGATTGCTATCATTGGTGCACACAAGCTTCACACAGATTACACAGATCATAATCATCTGTGCAACATAGATGATGATAATAATCTGTGCAAAGCTTGGTACATCCATGATAATAACCATTTGGAGGCACCCTAACATGACCCTTAAAAATAAGGCAAATTCTTACATATACGTAAAATTTATGGTAGACGATCTTCATATATGCTAAATAAGTATTTTCAAATTTTGAAATAAGTTTTTTTAAGATTAATAAAAAAATATGTGAGAAGGTTCATTTTGACTTTGGGTCCATCATAGAATCACTCTAAGAATAATATTACACCCGTCCCAGAGTATTTTTCCAATTTTGAGTTTTTTTTACATTCCAAATTAACAAACTCTGAACATTAATTATACGGATTCGGAGTATAAAATTGATGTTATCTATTGATAAATAAATAATTTTATTAGATCTATCTTGTAAAATATTTTTAAAATATTGTTTTATCTATTTGACATAACATTTAATTTTTATTTAATTATAGGTCAAATATAGATCTTACTTAAGAGCAAAATGACAAAAATGCACACACTCTAGGATAGAGGGATTATATGTTTCCTCTCACAAAAACCATATTTCTTTGTTTTCGTACGTTTAGGATAAATTCTCACTTTTCTATCTTTTAGACAATATATACTTGGTTCAATTAATTAGTTAGAAAAAAGTGATATATAAAACAAATTTTAGTGTTTGGTTAGTAAAAAAAAGAAAAAAATCACTCCCTCCATCCCTAAAAAGATGGTCACAATTTGAATTTTTTGGTTAAACTATAACACCCTTTGACCATAAAGTAATTAATATAGTTTAAAATAATTCAATATTACAAAAATATGAAAAATTAAAACTATATTTAAAATAACCCAATTTTGCTAAATTTACATTATAAGTAAATATACTTTTTTTCATAATTTACAGTCAATGAGTGCTTTTACTTGACCAAAAAAGTTAAACTGTGACAATCTTTTATGGACTAAATGAGTATAAGGAAAATTAAAACTATTATAAGTTTGATACATTTAAGTATTGGTATAAAATTTAAAACAAAATTTGTATATTTAATATAATATCAATATTTTACAGAGTATGTAAAACCCGAGATTGTGTCACTATTCACTCCGACCCAACTTAAATTGCTTGTTTAATTTATGATGTTTGACGACTGAAATTAATTTAAACGTAATTTATATGAGAATTGAGATCGAATTAGAAACATTACATATTAAAAATTAGAGTAAATTCCCAAAATAGTCCTTTGTAATAAGGGATTTTCTCGAATTAGTCCTCAATAAGTTTTAATTACCTATGTAGTCCTCTATAATTGAGATTTATTCCCAAAATAGTCCTTTGTAATAAGGTATTTTCCCAAATCAGTCTTCAATAAGTTTTAATTATATACATGGTCCTCTGTAATTGAGATTTATTCCCAAGATGGTCCTTCGTAAATAATATTACTCAAATAAGGATTAATTGAGGGTATTTTTTATCCGCTAAATTTAGAATTAATTCTTAAAATAATCATTTATAATGAAGTGTTTTCCCAAAATGGTTTTTATAATTAAAGATGTGTATTTGATTTGAAATTTAAAAGAATTTTTTAAGTTTTAAATAATTCATAAATTATTTATAATCAATGTATTTTTTAAATTTTACATTTAGTTGTACAGAAATGAATGTTTCGTGAATATACTTTAAATTTGGATGATCAAAATACCAAAATATTTCTGAATTAATCCTCATTTGAGAACTGATTTGGAAAAATACCTTATTACATAGAGATAAATCAAATACATTTATAAAACTTAAAAAAAATTAAATTTCAAATCAAATACACATTTTTAATTAGAAAACCCATTTTGGGAAATCACTTCATTATAAATGATTATTTTAAGAATTGATTCTAAATTTAACAGAGAAAAAATACCCTCAATTAATCCTCATTTGAGTAACATTATTTACGAAGGACCATCTTAGGAATAAATCTCAATTATAGAGGACCACATAGGTAATTAAAATTTATTAAGGACTGATTTGGGAAAACACCTTATTACAAAGGACTATTTTGGGAATATATCTTAATTATAGAGGACCACGTAGGTAATTAAAACTTATTGAAGACTAATTTGGGAAAACTCCTTATTACGAAGGACTATTTTGGGAATTTACTCTAAAAATTATATTAAAAATTCTACAAAATAAGCGGTGATTATATTATTATTTTATCACATAAATAATGAAAAAGATAAAGAAATTAAATAAAATTTCTTCGACCTGTGAATAGTAAATAAGAAATAATTTATTTTGAGACCGGAAAGAAAAGAAATAGTTACTCACATATGCATATAGCATACTACATACATGTCAACAAATTAGGAAGGAAAGAAAAGAAAATGAGTTTCTCCATCTTAATTTCTTTTCTTTTTTCTTTTAAATTTTTTGAATCAAATATAGTGTAAAATTACTTTTTTTTCTTTAAATACTCTTGTAAACCCTCGTTTGGGATAACGAGAGCATATATTCAACCCGAAACGAGAACTCATAACAACATATCGTTGGATCGAACTCACAAAAATAAGCAAATAGTGTTCCAAAATTGATGTGTGCGCACAAATGTAATCAGCTCAAAACTTTTACTCTTTTAGTGCGCCCATGAAACTTCAAATCACTTTTGAAAGTAGTGTGATCTACTCCACTTCTACACTTTAAAAATCCATTTTATTTTGTTCTTCTAAAAATGTTACACAATTTGGGTCCTACCTTGCCAAACATCACAATCCGCCCCTTCTTAAGGTGCGTTCCGATTGCCAGATCTCATTTTTTGAAGATCTAATATGATCTGGCCTAATCTAATCTGATCTGATCTGGCCTGATTTGATCTAATTGTAATTATAATTAAAACTACTACTAATCTAATCTTTTTTGATCTGGTCTGATATGATTATAATAAGAATGAGTAATAAGCAGAAAAAATAAATTAAACGGAACATTGTCTTATTAACTTTTAGCCTCCGTTTACATAGAATTCAAACAACAGAATTGGAATTGAGGATAATAATTTCAATTCTACTATTTGATAGCACAAAACTATGTGGATTTCGAACTGGTAGTGCCAAAATTGAATTGAAATTAGAGAATTCAATTCCATCCAAACTAATTCCATAGAATTTTAACATTCAGTTCAATACCAATTTTGTCAATTCCATTTACTAAACGAACCCTTAGTTTAAAGTCTTCCAATTGCACACGTTTTTACTTTTAGCTTCAATCGCATTCATTTCTTTTGAATTCTCATAATCACACCCTTTCTATTACGTAAATTCTCGTTTGCAGTATGGCGTCTTTAGGGCCAAGCAACATTATTTTGTTCTTCCAAAACTTTGGTGTTCTGAAATTCTATAATACGTACGTAAATACATGTGTGTCTGTGTGTTTGTGTTGTTTCTTCTTTTTATCTATAAAATTTGAATAAAGTAATCTTTAGTGATACAGAAATTTGGAATTTTTGAAATTTTTTGGGATAATCAATCATTTAATTAGTATCACATTCCCTTTTAATTTAATTTGTTGTCAAAGCAATTTCTAAAAGTCGACAAAGGATAGTGTCATCAAAGAGTTTTTGAAAACTTCTAAGATCTTGTGATTTTTTCTGAAAAATATATAAGGTGACAAAATTTGAGTCTTGTATAATACATTTCCGTTCCAAAAAAAGGTTGCGTTTCATTTTTGCGCATCTCAAAAAACACTTCTATATCGTCTTAAACGCCAAAAAACTTTCAAAACGACATCTACCCACAATGAAAAGTAAATGTGATAATTTTTAGGTCTTTTAAATGTGAGCAGAAGTATTTTTTGGGATGTAAAGAAAATGAAACATAACCTTCTTTTTTGGACGTAGAGTGTGTGATTATATAACAAGAATTGTATGTGAAATAAAAATAATTGGAAGTCAATGAAGGATGCTTTGTCAAACGAGTGATGCTTAAAACTAGATGACTTGCTGACATAGAATAGAAATTTTGGTCTTGATTCTTCAAAAGAGGTTACTAATTTGATGTATTACCTTATCTAAACATATTAAATTGTTTTCCAAATACGTACATTTAGTGCTTTTAGAATAATCTTACAACTCCGGTAAGTATTATATTGCATTTGATCAAGAAATGTGCACCACACATGACAATTCAAGAGTACATTTTTTATTTGTTTGTAATGAACATGATATATTTTAGTTTTATGCTTTTATCAATTACGGAGTATTATCTTGTAGCAATTATCTTATTTCTTTTTTTTTAATGAAATATCTTATTGTGTTTAATTTTATCATTTTTCATACGGAGTATTAAAGATTCATGTTCAAAAATGAAGCAATAATCATTTTTCAATCTTGTAGCTATAACCATCATTTTTCATATTAGAGATTCATTTTTCATATTTTACATATAATTTTATCATTTTTCATACTCCCTCGGTCCCACAAAAAAATTCTAATTTTGAATAGTATTTAGTCAAATATTTACACACTTTGACTACAAATTGTGAGAAAAGTATATTACATTATAAAATAAATTTAATATATATAATTGGATTTATTTTAGGATCTAGTTTTGATATCTCAAAATTTTTTAGCATATCTTTATTTAGATTATATTTAATTTATGGTCAAAGTGTGTAACTGTTTGACCAATTTATGGTCAAAATGAAAGTTTTTTTGTGAGACGGAGGGAGTATTAAAGATTCATGTATTTTAGTGCATTGATATCTTAAAGAGATCGAATCTTTTACAAAAAAGAAAAGATCCACTTGTCAGTCCATAAAATATGTGCTAAGGTTTATATTTCACATGTGAACCTTAATTACGGCCACACTGTTGTTGGTATGTCTCGCGACGACGGCGTCACCCCCACTTGTCCCTCCTTTGATCATAATTCCTTCTACTGAGAAACAAAATTCTAGCCAACCACAATTGTCTGTCTATACATCAATTACCGCCGCTTCTTGATCCTAGATGAGAACGTCACCTTAGAGCCTAACATGCAAATGTTACACAAGACAATTTTATTCTTTTTACATTTATGGGAGAACTCCCTAAATAGAACTATAGAAATAATAGAGTAAAAATTATGAAAATACCAAAATATAAGTAATAAGTCTTTTAAGACCAATATAAGATCAGAGTTTACATTGTCGTTGTTACACTACCACACACACCACACTGTCACATCGTAACTATGACACTACAACCGCTACAATGTCAATCCATCATAGCCGGCCACCAGAGTACTGCCGCGGATCACCGACGGTTGACTGATCACACTAACATATTACGTATATTTTTATCACTTTTTCATCAAACTGCCAACATAATTTCTTACACCACACTGTCATTATATTCTAATTTTGATTTTAAATGATTTAAGACGTACTTCTATTTTGACATTTTAATACTTTTTTTACTTCTATCTAAGAAAATTTCTTTAATGATTATTAAATAAAAAATTTGCACTAAATAAAACTAAAACATACTCCCTCCGTTCTCAAAAACACTTCCTCTTTCATTTTTTTTCACTTCCAACAAAACACTTCCCCTTTCTATTAAAAAACCACTTTTACCCTTACTTTTTCATACCCTACTTATCACATCATACTTTTTCTCTAATAATCAATCCATCACATCTTACTTTTACCCATCACATCAGGGGCAAAATTGGAAGTCAACTATAATTTTACACTTCCTTAATTTGCCTTATTTTCAAAGTGGAAAGGGTTTTCCCAAACGGAGGGAGTAGATTATTTTTCAATGTAGGACTTAAACTTTTTTATTTTCTAAATAGGACTTAATAATGTCTAGTGGGAGGAATAATATCCAGTGATTATTGACATTTATTTGAATAATGACTAATGGATAATGACCAATAGTCCTATATTAAAAAATAAAAACATATAGTCTTATATTGAGAAAATTATTATGTTTTAGTTTTATTTAGACAAATTTCTCTCATTAAATCTCCCACTAATTAATGTCATTCTCGACATAGTTCAACGTTCATGGTTACCAACTTTGTTCAATAAAAGATGAATTATGTGGGATCCAATTGAAGCTCTCTTTTTTCAGTAGCAATAATGCTGAACTTTTGTACTATCCTATCTCACCTCATTCTTTTATTAAATTCTTAAACAATGCTAGGTGTACATGTATAGAAGGTATGTCAAGTTGTTACAGATAGTATATACAGACACTTTAATAGTTCATACTGGCACTAAATATTAGTACGTTCAATAAAATTTAATACTAGTATTATATGTCATTGTCAATTATCATGAGATCAATACACACCTGTTATGTACAATTTGGGTTACACCTCTTAGTGTAGTTCGAAACAACTACGGAGTATATTCTAAATTCTTATAAAGATCTATGGGGTAACTTTCTTATAAAAACATATTAAGTATAATATTAATTATAATTTAATTTTTTTTATTTAATGAGTGTTCAAAAAAGATTATACTCTAAGGGAATATTCTTTTAATGATCGAAAGAATTTGGTGGATAATACGTAGTACAACTTAATCGTTACTTTTTTCCGAAATAAACTCTCATAACATATTTTTTCGATAACTTTGTGCTCATGGAACTACAGTATTTGAAAATACCCAACTAGACGTACGGATGCAGCATTTTCGAGTTATTTATAAGTATTTTACTCCCTCCGTCTCCCTAAGATGTTCTCATTTTGACTTTTAGTGGTTTTTAAGGAGAGTTGAAAAAAGGTGAAAATTTACCATAATACCCTTAATGAAAATGGGTGGAGTGTATTAAATGAGTTGGGTGAGATGTAATAAATAAAGTAAGTGGGGGTAGTTGTGGTATTTTAATTGTTAAAAAAGGAAATGAGAAGATCTATTGTGGACAAAGAAAAAGGGCTATTGGGAAGATCTATGAGGGACGGAGGGAGTATATAGATGAATTTTTTTTTTGGAATAAAAAAATTACAACAATTCTTACAACAAATCAATCGAGACACATATAATATTCTATTTGTAAAATTGATTCTTCTAACTCCTAATTGTCAGGAATTGAATTCGACTATTGGTGCCTCCAAACGTAATTGTCAGGAATAGAATTCGGCTATTACCCTTTGAGTCTCCTTTTCCTTGTCAGCTGTGCAACGCCACACCCCGTCATTTTGTTTTTGAATATTTCTGTAGAGAGGAGTGGTTCCCGGATCTTCGATCTAACGTACAACTAAAAGTTGAAAATTGCATGCCAACCTTGCAATTTACGAACTTTCTCAGAATGCACCGTCCCTTCGACTTGAACGTACCTATGCAACGACAAACTTCCCATATTTTTTATTAAGGGGCTGTTTGTTTCAGCCTCTTAATGATTCAGATGTCTGAATGATTCAGCACTTAATGGTTCAGACTGTTTGTTTCAGCCTCTTAATGGTTCAGAAGTCTGAATGGTTAAGAGATTTGCCTCTGAATGGTTAAGTATTATACAGAGTCTGAATGGTTAATATCTCTTATCTGAATTGATCAGACATTTTCCTCTGAATAGTTAAGCAATATACTAGCTCTAAATGGTTCAGACCTCTTACTGGTTCAGTACTTAATGGTTCAGACCTCTTACTGATTCAGCACTTACCCATTCAGAAGTTGCCAAACAGCCCCTAAGTCTAAGTGCAACAACTTAAAGAGGTTTCATTCATTTTATAAACCTTTGTAAATAAAGATTACGGTTCCCATGACATTGTCCGGCAATATCATGGGATGACCCGGGGTGCTCGATACCCCGTTCGTAAAATTGACGGTTCCTACCCTCGGGGGATGGGGAGTGTGTTCGGATCGAGACAGGGTGGGGGGTTAGGAGGTAGGAATCGTCAATTTTATGAACGGGGCCCCGGACCACCCCAGGTCATCATAGGAACCCCACCCGTAAATAAATACTTCGTACTATACTCTCTTGGCCTATTAAATTCTTTTATCACTTTCCTTTTTAGATTAATGTATGATTTAAATTTTTTTATTCACTAAATCAATTTTTGGGTCTAACGACTTATTCTGAATAAATAACAAACACCGATTTTGAATGTAATTTCTTAGAATTGAGGATTATATTGGCGTATTCAGAAAATGATGACATGTTATAAGATAATCAATCACCTGTTGAATTTACGCATATCAATTTTTATCAAAATTGATTTTTCTATTGGGACGAATTGAATGAAATATGAATTTTACTTTTTTAGTGACCAACCCGATTTAAATGTGGAACTTTATTTTAAAATAAGGAATTATTTGCAAAATTGTACTTGCAACATTGTACCTATACAAAGTTACAAACCTCTGTTTTGGATCAGACCACCTTTTTTAACTTCTCTCACTCTCTCTCTCATATCCGTGTGCGTATATATATGTGTATATATATAAGATCCCATCTCCACCATTCCTTCGTTCATTTCATTTAAACCGACCCAACAAAGAAATAATTTGTTGAATCCAAAATTCCCATTATATTCTCTCAATAATTTGATAGTAGAGAGTTCATAATTTTATTCTTATTAAAGTTATTATCCCAATTGTTACATTTTTGTTCTTGAATTGGTGTGTGTGTTTTAATTTTCTAATCAGCTGATCATTGGCTGGTTATAATTAATTAGTTTGATTAATTACTTATATTTAATATATGGAAGCACGAATAATTAACAGGAACTCGTCGACATCAACGACTTCCTCCGACTCATCCTCGTCGGAGTCATCTTTATCTGCCGGCGGCGGCGGCGGCAAGGTGGCTCGAGACGGCCGGAAGAGGCTGGAGAGGATAAAAGGGCCGTGGAGTTCGGAGGAGGACAAGATCCTTACCCGGCTGGTGGACCGGTACGGCCCAAGAAACTGGTCCTTGATTAGCAAGTACATAAAGGGCCGGTCCGGGAAGTCTTGCCGGCTCCGGTGGTGTAACCAGCTCAGCCCCACCGTGGAGCACCGCCCCTTTTCTCCGGCGGAGGACGAGACGATCATGGCGGCCCATTTGAAGTACGGGAACCGGTGGGCCACCATTGCCCGGTTGCTCCCTGGCCGGACCGACAATGCCGTCAAGAACCACTGGAACTCCACGCTGAAACGGAGATGCGAACGGCAGTTGAGTCAGAGACACAATAAGACGTTTAGCTCGACGGAGGTCTCTGACGTCGTTAACTCGTCGGCGTGCGTTAATGTCAACGCCGGAGATGGTCAACCGGTGAATTACTCCTCCGCCGGCAGTTATAATAATAATAATAACAACAACAACAACAATAACAAGGTGTTTCCCATAGTTCTGGGCCACCTGAGAGAGTACGATGATGATCCGATGACAGCGTTGTCCCTGGCGCCGCCGGGATTGGGCGGGCGCGTGGTGCCGGAGAAGCGGTCGGAGAGTTTACCGGCGGAATTTTGGGATGTGATGAGGGAGGTGATAGCTAAGGAAGTGAGGGAGTACGTGACGTCATCATTTTCCGGGCCGCCAACTGGCTTTCATTAAGATGCCCGTTTAATTAATTAATTAAGTAATTAATTATGCTGATGATACTTATTATTGCTGCTTTCTAAATTCATCTGAGATTTGTGACGACCTTTCTTAATTAATCAATTAATGTAGATGGAATATTATTCAAACAGCGGTTTTATATTTTTTGTTTTGCTTCATTGGCTTTCTGAAATTGAAAATCTTTCCCAATAATTATCATTTGGGAAACTTCATTGCTTGTTCCGGTTCTCTTTCCTCTTTCTAAAAAAATCTTCATGACATCTTTTAGGGATAGATTTTTGCATATTTTATTGGTTCTGAATTAATTTTGGCACTTAGTTAGAGATTAAAATTGCTAAAAAAACAAACAGAGGGTGGTTTAAAAAGTATAGAAATATATCTAACGACATATTCATTTCCAAAATAAAAAAAGAAAAACTAAAAATTATTTTGAGACGGATTAAAAACGAAATTTAAAAATTTCATGAGACAACGAGAGTGATCATAAGTATTCACTCCACTCAATAGTTTTTTTTAATCTTTTTGGTTCGTTCCAAAAAAAAGTACTCTCATTTTTCACTAATGGAAAGATTTTTGTGGCTCATATCCGAATTACTTTTATATCCTCTGTACCGTTTTCAACAAAACAATGTTATTTTTCTTAATCTCCGTATCTAGTCAAACGTGAAACATTTGATTGAAGCAATATTTACAAGGAACAAAAAGAAGAGACATAACAGCCACAGCCAAGTAAAGTCAAGGATGAGTTTGGGGTGGTAGTAGTAGTAGCAGTCCTTGAATGATGTTTCTTGCCTCAGCAGCAGCCTCTACCTGATCAACTCCAAAAGCCCAAACATTCTTCATCTGAGGCACCAAAACCATACCCACTTCCCTCAGTTGTTTCTCCAGTTCCTCTGTCCCTTCCGAATCCATCACCCTCGCGGCCACGTTCCAACTTTTACTGGAACAAGCATTCAGAATCATCATCCTCAGGAGTTCTTCATCTGATGATGACGATGAGGAGGAGATCATGTCTTTGCCGGTGATCATCAGCTCCTGAGCCGAAGGATCAAATGTGGATCCGTGGTTTTTCACCACCACTCTCTCATGGTGCCGCTCTATCACCTCCTTCAGATGAGCTTTGGGATGCAACAGTCCAAGCAAAGCCGCTGCGCGATCACCATTTGCCCAGCAGCAGCAAGAAGACGAACCATCATCTGCAGAAAAAGAAGCATTTCGAAACATAGCTGGAAATATTCAAACTGAAAATGGTTTTTTTTCTTTCTTTCTTCCTCTGGTCCTCCTACCTATGACAAACCCGGCGAGTGGAATGTTAACATGAAATGACTTGATTTTACGCGAAAAGAAGTAATCGTCCTGGTTTTCCATGATGAGGGCATGAACAGATACAACCTGTAGTCATGAGAAAACGTGTGATGTCCATCCACAAGGATGAAGAAGACTATTAAAGTGTTGAAAAGTGGCAATTTTACCCTGCAACGGAACAGCAATGGTTCACTCTTTGGGCAATGTGTTGTTTCGGAAATCAGAGCTTTACGCACATCACTGGATGGATCCAAACTCCGCAAGCCTCCAGCAGCAGGAACATAATGGCTGACTATAGCACCAGGTGCATCATAACTCTTGCTTCCAGAGTGCACACTGATGAAAGATGAAGGTATCATCATGAAACTATCATGCCCACTACACAAAAAAAGAACATAAGTTCAAAGCATTCATATTAGGCATGCCATAGATCATGAGTTGCAAGAAATTTAGTTGAAGAAAGGAGAGTTGCATGCATGCCTGAGTACAAGGATACGGTGAAATGTTGCAGTCACGCCTCTTCCAAATACAGCCGGGTAAGCGCTCTTATGTATGGCACCATAAATCTTGACCTGTCCGGTCAATTAAATTAACTTAATATGTCTGGTTTTGGTAAAAATGACAAACATAAATATATGGACAGAAATATAATACCATCTTCTGGTCAACCATTAGATGGACACAGATGCATGTTTCTTCAAATAACACCGAATGAAGAGCTCCGCCATGGGCACCACCCCTTAGTGGTACATATTGTGATTTCTCATCTAAATGATGAACAGCACATACCCATCCGCATAAAGATATGAGATTTCCTTCGGGTAAACGGTGACCAACATATCTTGTGCGACTGGGTAGTGCTAAAGAAGTGATTGAGGCCTTGTTGCAGTTTTTTCTCTCAGTTTGTTCTTCATATGCAACAATGGGATTCTTCAGAGTTGCATTCGGCAGCTTCAAATCGTCTTCCAGGAGGCTTATGAAGTCAGGAGACAGAAACAAGTTAACGTCAGATTGTGTTTCATGTTGCGGGTAGCTTTCTTCAGGGGATATCTCGGCAACTGAAAATGAAAGGCTCCAAATACGAATTCTGGAATTCAAAAAAACTTTACTGCCACTTCCTGATGCACACAACACATCTGCCTTGTTGTGACTTATGATGTAGTAACAACCGATTCTCAGGGCCTGTACTTCCAAAAAATGCAACTTTGTAAAGAGTTTTTTTTTTTTTTGTGAACAAAATTATACTGGCATTGACTTTGATTATGCAATAAGTTCTAATTTCTCAGTTAGACACTTAGACTCAGGAGTTCATTTGGAATAGAAGCGAAAGGAGTGCATTTGCAGTGGGGTGGCGAGTTTGGAGTGATGCCGGTGAGATTAGAAAATAAGTATTTCAACTACTGAGAACCATGAAAAATGTGTTTGGGAATACTATATTGCGTAGATGGTACGAAGAGATTAGAAAACACGGACCTCATACACTGAAAAGGCTTCAAATGTGAATTCCAACAATATCTTTCTCATTTCAGGTTCAGAACAGCCGAAACTCGCGCCAGCATTATGGCATTGCAGCTTGCCAATGCAATGTGAATTGTCTCTTCTACCAGTAACAAGACAGAGAACTTCCGATGGGTACTTAACATTATAATGGTTTCCCACTGCAAAAATTTCATGAACCAAGTATGATCAGGAATATAATTAATTGCCATGCTTTTATTGTAAGCACAATGACTTACTTGATGCATGGCCTATTTTTCTCTTTTTGAATGGAGGTAAAATTTCACTTTGGTATTTCATAGAATCTCTCAATAGGTCAGAAAAAGGCACAGTGGGCGTATCTTCATCACGCTCAGGAATATGCAGATCCCAAGGTATAACTAGAGCCTCAGCAAACACACTCGACTTACTTGAAATACCACGATGGCATTGATACTGAAAAACATAAAGATTTGTGATAAAATATAGAATCCAAAAACAGCATACCTCATAACTATGTCACTAACCTTTTGCATGATGGGAAATTTATGCTTTATCCATAGCAGATGGAACTGCCCCCTTTCAATCTCTTGAAAGGTCTCCTTCATTTTGACATGTGCTGAAAATGGAGGGTCTATGGATTCTTTGTCTGCCACATTATAGGCAAGATGGAGGGACATATTAATTTTTCTTAACAGTGGGCCACTTGCGAAAATACTTCGGCATGCAAAAGGTTCGGTTTTGAGTAAATTGAAATGATCCATCTTTTCAGGTAAGCCTTGCATACTTAGAGTGAATCGTTTTACCTGAAATACAGAAACTTGCATATCTTTAAAGTAAGAAATTAATTTTCTTGACGTATAGTTTCTTTTATGACTTAATTTCCAAGATCAGAAATAAATGAATTTAACATAATACACACACCCACCTCATATATACTCTCGAAATTCCAATTCAACGAAAAGTCTGGTGCGACGTCAATGCTGCCAGTTGCATCAACTATTTGCAACCTTCCAGAAGATGAAGAAATCTGGATGAAGCATATTATGATGCTTAATAAAAATGGCAAACAACAAGCCAAGTCCCTGCCATTATTCTTTACACAATAAGAACATGTTTTAGATGATATTCTGACCTTTAGGTGTCCAACCAAAGCAATGTTTATTTCTTCACTGTGCACAACTCTCCACATCAATTGTGCATGATTTCTGCTCCCACAAGAAATAGACTTATACTGCTCTTTAAGACCCATGAGATCAACTCTCTTCGGATCTAACAGCTCTTTAATCCAAATTGACTCGCAATAATTAATTAAATTAGAAAACGGTACAACCTGAAATGATTTAATCAAAAAAATGTTAGGCAACTGAGCTAGTTCTATGGTTTTGGACTAATCAAAGATAATGTGACATGAGAAGTCCAACCCCATACTTACTAAACTAGACTGGCAGCAATTTACTTCACTGCCACATGCACATTTGTCATGCTTGCAGAATTCCCAAAATGGCCCATGCTGTTAAATATAAACAAGTTGTTATCAAGTAAAGATGAGGGGAATGAACCAATAAGATAACTCACATATTTACCAGAGATAAGAAAACTGACTTAGGTAAATGTGAGGTTGCATAAAGCTGAGCTAGTCCTTTGTTCTGGCACCTTGCAAAAGTTCAGATTAGATAAGAGGAATTCTCGGAAAAAAAAACATGAGGAAAAAGGCTTTGGGTTGAAGCAGACGTTCATCCTTCTGAATGTGCTTTCAAAAAAAACTTACATTTTTTGAACCCAATATCTCCTTTATTGATAAGATCCCACTGAACTTTCTCCTAAAACTCGCAATGACAAGCAATACCCTGGAGCAAATATAGCATAGCAATCAAGAATGAGGGTGCAAAAGTGTAAAAATAATGTCATCAGCTAAAAAAAGAGTTCTTTTTTTTTACCATAGCCTAGCAATGAAGGTCAGAGAATCAATGAACTTCCTCAAAAGACTCTGATGTTGGGGTTTGATATAACATCTGTATGGTATAAATTGCAGCATGCATGAATGTAATGCTTTTTCAGATATTGATATAGAAATATTGCATTTCAACAGGTTCAATTAACTCACCCGGTTTCTAACAATGAGAACGATTTCACACACACACTTGTCTTAATGCAAGATCCTAGAATAAGAAACTTTGACCAAGAGAATCTCGGATTCAAAAAGTGAACATTTTTTAAAGATACCTAGACAGAAAACAAGACGTAAGAATATATTTATCTAGTCGGAGAGTCCATATTCATTTAACATTTGGGAAGCAAAGTAAAAACTTCACTTGATGGAGTCATACAGATAGAATAAGTCAACAAATATTGATCATCTACTTACAACAGCACCAACTCTCAAGCTATGAGGCAAAATGATATCACGATCGGTTAACAATAGCATTGCTTGTCCGTCCAACTCAACAATCAATCCCTGCATGTAAATGGCTGTGACAATCCCAGTATAACTACCACATTCGCCATTCCCTCTCATCTTAGACTTCTGAACTCTTATATATTGATCCTGCGAGTTAGGAATATGCATAAAAGATTTTTCCACGGTCACATACATCATCTGGCATATCTCTTTCCCTATAGTGACCATTTTCTTCTTCAATCCCGAAAAAGAGACAAATCTTCCAACCAATCTTGGCATCACAGGATGCCAAATCGAAGCAGGCCCGCAGAAGTAAACGATAACAGGCTTGTTGAAGGAATGACCACTAGAATGTTCATTTGAATGTGTTAGCCTGCACAATTTGCACTCACAAATTAACATTTCTGCAAGAAACCCACGAAGACTCTTCAAGCCACTGCTCTCACCTGTAGATGAACCTGCACAGGACACAGACGAAACAGGGCTGACTGCTTCTACCGTTCCCGTGATAAAATTCCGGGCTCTCTCCCAATCCGCAGAATTCGTAATAGAACCAGAGAAAAGACTAAAGGTGTCTGAGAACGAAGAAGATTCTAGAAAATCCCATCGAATAATCTCCAGGAAACCACTGTTACTACCGCGGGGAATGAAATTCCAAGCCAAAATTTTGATCTTTTTGCCAATTACCTTCAAATCAAACGCGAGAATGTCGCAGCAGACAGTTGCGGAATCGTCGGAGAACTGGAAGCAGACGCAATTAGAAGCCGGGTCGTCGTTATTAGCGGGTAGAGTTAGGGTTCCGGTGAGAAGTGCCGGAGCGCTTAGGGATTTGAGAACTTTCTGGTCAGGGATAGCGGCATCCCGGTGAGAGCCCTTGTCAGGTTCGCCTCCGGCTCCGGAATTCCGAGTAGGCCGTGAAAGAGAGGATGAAGGACTGCTGAAGAGAGAAAATGCTCCGGCGAGCGGCGTTGAACGCCCGATAAGCTCCGACAGTTTAACGATTTTGACTGTTTTTTCACCCATTACAGAGGATATTCGCGGTGGACAATTGTCGGCTGGCCGCTGGCGGCGTTCTTGTTGGTTTGGTTTACAACTTCAGGTCTTCGACACTCCTCCGACCAAACATTCCCGCCTTATTCTTGAAATGCGATTTCTCGGTTTGAATGCAATAAATCGGGTTATAACTCTAATTCATACGGAGTACTTCATAACTCTCAAAATGTTTATCAAAAAAATTAATCATAATTAGATTTTTTTTTAAATTTATTTTATTTAAAAATTGATATAGATATACAAAATAAAATTTACATATTTAAAAGTTACGTCAAAATTTTTCAAAACAAGATGCGATACAAATATTCATTTTATCAAATAATCGATGAAAATGTAAAAATAAATAAAAAGTTTCCGTAGTTTTTAAATAGTAATTTGCGACATTCTTTTTCTAACGGATGAAGTACTATTTCTCTTTTTTTTGTAGTATTTTAAACACTACTTTTAAGAATAAAATTTTAATCTAATAAATAATTGTGTTGATTTTATCCTGAAAGTTTTTGTAGGGCAGAAAAGATATACGGAGTAATTATTCAGATTTTATTTTACAAATTTAAATTTTGATAATTAGATTCCAGACTTCATTTCTCAAATTTCAATTTTGGTGTTCTAGATTCCAACGACTTTATTTTCCAAAAATAAAAACATAAAAAATCATCAGCTTTACTCCTATTAAAGAGTAAGATTAGGGAGTATTTAAGGTTGAAAAAGCAATGCCTAGAATTTATTGCAAATCAAAACCCAAAGCATCATGAATGAAGTTTGCAAGAGAAGCATCCCAATCCTTGTTTTAAAAACGGTTTCACAGTTCTTTTTTTTAACGTCTCAAAATAAAATTTTATACCGTAGTTTTTAATAATTTCCTATAAATTGTATTATTTCTTTTTTCCATTTGCATAAACTTTTATCACATAATTTTACTTTTTAGTAATTGTATTATGTTGTAGAATCTTTTCGAAGGACATGATGAGTAAATGTTTGTGACCGTTTTGTTGACATAAACATCCTACAAATCTGATTGACATATAAGGAGTAATAAACTCATTTGGAGGTTTTAGTTGACATTTTAAACTCCTTAGGAATGGTCAGTTCAATTTTTCTTTTAGGTTTTTTATTGTAAGAGATTCTCATAAACGAGTAATTTTATTTGAAGAAAAATAGGAACAACAATATTCGCCCCCCGGGACATAATCACTCGATATACATGAGATTATATCATACACAATACACATGGTGTGTGGCTTTCATCTCACCCGCTCATTGTTAAACAATACAAACCAAGAGGGCCTAATCGTCTTTTCAGATTCCTACGCATTTACGTATATATACGTTCCGCTCCTGTCTCAAGTGCCTGAGCGCGGTGTGTCCTGCAAAGTCAAGTCAAAGATGAGAACCCACATTTGGACATATTTAAGAGCCTATGATCTTGTTAAGGTTATATGATGTTTTGCTTACATACAGGTTTGTTTGGAGAGGAGGGCAGGCTTAAGAAAGGATGGTCAAGTAGCATGGCTGCAGATGGCCTATCTGCTGGCTTTCTCTGAAGGCAACACCCAAGAAAATGCTTTCCTTCTGCAGAAAGTGTTTCCGGTATGGGAGGTGATTTGTTCAATACGCTGAACATCGCTTGCACCTGATAATATATAATCAAACCCAACGGTCTTAAAATGAACCAATGTTTTAATCAAGCCAATGATCCTAGTGAAACGAAATGAAGAGTTTCGAGAGAGCAGTTTTTGTTACCCAGGTAAGATCACTCCAAGGAGGTTGTCCGGTGAACATCTCAATCACAGTACAACCCAATCCCCATATATCAACTGCAAGGGCAATATCGGGATTCTCATCTTTCCTCAGCACCGCCTGCATCACCTCCGGGGCCATCCAATGAGGACTGCCCTTCAATGATAAATCCATACTTTGTCCCGAAAGCTGAAATCAAATAATAGAAACAGTTTGAACACACACACAAAAAAAAAGATTCAAATTTGCAGATTTTAAGGTTTTGCTAGGCTGACATGTTTTGCCAGTCCAAAGTCAGCTAGCTTGACAACACCAGATGCATCTACGAGCAAATTCGCCCCTTTTATGTCCCTGTTTGAAAAATATACCCTTATAAGTTAACCTATCAAAATCATTGACTATGCAAAATTAAGAGCATCATGACTAAAATTAAACTACCTGTGTATAGTCTTCGTGGTGTGTAAGTAGGCGATCCCTGAAACAATATGACGAGTGAAATGTCTAACAACAGACTCGGGCAACGCTCCTCCATAATCTCGGAGATATTTATTAAGTGAGCCGGGATGAATGTACTCTAAATATATGCAAAACCGGTCGTCAACCTAAACCACATTTTATGAACAAGTTCATTGGTTAAGTGTATATGCATAAAGAAACGCATAGTTGCTTTCAATGAAAGTGAAGAAGAGAAGAGAATGCTCTCACAGTTTCACTGCCATAATACTGCACAATATTGGGGTGCTTCAACTGTCGAAGCAGTTGTATTTCCTAAAGTAGAAACAAATATAACAGTTAATATAAGTGAATCATTTCCATCTCCGTCCTCAAACTTTCCAAAGGGAAATATGGTTTATAAGCATTGATATGAAATAATTGTATCAAAGAGACGTCACTAGGTAAATACTGTAACCTCACACAGATTAAAGAAAAACCTTCTCTAGCTGCTGTATACATTCCAAAGCTTTTGGGTCATCAGGAGCGTACTCGACTTCTTTCATAGCACATAAAGCACCAGTTTCACTGTTAGTTCAATAAGTTTCTCTTTCAGGAAGAAGCACACATTTCAACAAAAATAAAAGAAATCAAAAAGATAAGAAAGGTATGGGTACCGATTAGTTGCAACATAAACAGTTCCATATGTGCCACGCCCTAATAATTTCCTTTTTTGCCATAGACCCTTCATTGTAGGCGGCGTATCCGATCTTTCTGTATGGTTATAACTATAACTACTATGAGTGGAAAATGACGGCAATGGCCTTGATACTCCTCCTCCTCCTCCGGGTGGAAGGGGCAATGGATGTACATTGTTATTCTCCGGGAAAGATTTATTATGCTGAAATGCAGGGTTAAAAAGTTCAACTGTGCTGAACCTTTTTGGGCTGTGGACAGGACTAGTGAACCCACTGCCCGGAGCACTCCTTGCCGGAACCTGAAGTCTGAAACCCTCTTCTTGGCTGGTGTCCTTATTTGTGTTTGGATAGAAAGCTCTACGCCTATAAGTTTGAGCTGTTTCTTTCCTTGCTGGGTTTACTTCCTTCCCAAGACCATGCCTATAGGAATTACAGCAATAAAGAAACTACACATCACTCTTAAGTTAAAACTTCAACATTATATCTCAAGGTTTTCAAACCAGCAAATGCTAACCGACATGCACGTCTGAAGCTCTAAGTTTGCAAGCGGTGCCTTTAATGTTATAAGAATACTAGGTATGAACATCCCAAAATTTCCAAATTTTGATTTGAGTCAGACCAATAAAAATATCTTCTTTTTAAGATTCTATTAGGAGTCTACCCTAAAAAAGGTTGATAACATGCAATTTAGGACCTTAAATGTCCTTAATGATCAAAATTATCAATCCAAAGCCCAAAAAAACATGAACTTTGGTTTTTATTTTCAAAAGGACGGCACGGTTCCAGTGACACTAGGTACCATTGACATTTTGGGCACCTGTTGTGCTCCGTTTGCAAAATTGATGGTTCATACCCCCTAACCCCTAATCCCACCCGACCCAGCCCGAACCCACCCCCCCACAACCCTTCAATTTCATCCCCAAAATTCTATAACTTTAGGTCAAATTTAAGAAAAGAGATAAAGCTCATCATGCAGACTTTGGTAGTTTTGGCTTCCAAGAATCCTTGCAGTACATGTGCATTATAAATAAAGAAAGAAAGAAAAAAGAAACAAAGATTGGACCTTTGAGGTGCAGAGGTTGAAGTCGTCTCCCCTTGGCCTTTGGTTGCCAAGCTCTCACTGTAGATTTTGGGAAGGGGGAGCGGCTGAGGCAAGGCGGATTTGGACGAGTGGCCACGGGGCCGCTGCAGCCGCGAACCGGAATCAGGAGAAACGGGCAAAGACTTGGACCTCGACGACTGCTTATCAGAAATAACCCCAAATCCCAGCCCGAGCTCGTCATCCGTCGCATGCCTGAGCCTCCGCTGCCGCGTCAGGCGCCGGATGCCGCCTCCGCTGAAAAGATGCCTGTCGCTGCCACCGCGGGGAGACTCATAGGCGGAGGGGGAAGTGGAAGCTGCGGAGGAGCTGGTGCGGGGGGAGTGGGAGAGGGAGTGATTGGAGAACGGTTTCCAGAAAGAATAAGGCATTTGGGGCGGTCGGAGAAGTTGGGAAACCGTGGGCGCCTTTGACGGGGTTGAAATAGTGAAAGAGGAGGCGCGTGTTTGGGGGGCGGATTCAACGAAAACGCTGGCCGGAAGTCGTCGTGAGTTCCTCCTGAACAGGACAACATCTCCATTTTGGTACGGACGACTCCCAAGTCAATGCACGTGCCCCCTTGCCTTTCTACACTGCCTGTCTCTGTTTCTACAATCGCCAGTCATCACTCTTCCCTTCTCTTCGGCCAAAAAATATTCCTATTGATAAAGGTGCTTGGTTCTCATTACATTTGAATCAATCTCTTCGAATGATTTAGAGGTTTTAAGGTATTTCATTTAAGAAATTGATGATTTTTATATTTCTTAGCTATTTAGCAAAACAATCATTTTCGTCTGAACTAAACTCATTCACCACCTCTTCAATTGCACCTTCCAATTGAAGGACGTAGAGGTTTTTTCGTCGGATATGTTTTTTTTGAAAATTATAATGATAAGAATTAAGTAGGGGTGAGCATGGTACGGTATTTAGCTCGTACCGATACCGTACCAAATATTTCGGTTTGGTATGAGATTTTACTCTGTACCGATCCCGATCCCGAAATATCGGTTCGGTATGGTTCAGGATGGTTCGGGATGGTTCGGTATCGGTTTCGGTACAAATTGGGATAAATATACATACCTACTTTACACATTAAAATTTAACAACGTCCCTTTATTTTTTAAAATTAAAAGTGAATTTAAATAAAAAAACATAAAAACTTTAAAAAATGAATATTTAAATGCAAGAGATGCGTATCAAAAATTAGTTTATACGTAGTATTTCACAAACTAAAAAAATGAATGACAACAAAGGAGTATTTCAAATAATCTTTGTAAATACTTTTATGTTCATACACAAAAACTAAAACTCAAATAAAAATATAATTTACACATAATAGAACTTGAACCAATTTTTTTTTAAAAAATTATTATTTAGTGAAGGAATATAAAAATATTACTTTGGGGTATTATTTTTATAATATTTTAGTATATATGTTCGGTTCGGGATTTTCGATATGGGATGTCACCTCGTACCGTTCCCAAATACCGTACCGACCATTCGGTTCGGTACGGTTCGGTTCCTTCTCGGTATTTTTTCGGTTCGGTATTCTCGGTTTTTCGGTAAATTTCGGTATCGGTTCGGTACTTGCTCACCCCTAGAATTAAGTGCAGTAAAATAAGCATAGACCGATTAAATAAGTTCTACTATCATATAAAGAAAAGTGAAACTTTACTCATTAATCATAAAGTGCACCAGAACTATTCGCCTAGGATTTGAACGATATTTTAATCATGAGCGACATTAGTATATGAATGTCAAGATCAAGAGGGAACAATGGACATTTACCATATCACAGAAGATATCGGTGAAATAAACTTAAAAATTATTAAAAGTTCTATGTATTCTGAGTGCAACCTTTACCACAATTAAAAAAAAGTGCTTAAAAAATTGAAAAATATCTGGTGTGCATTTGTTTAAATGAGAGAAAAATGTTTGCATCACATGTTTACTTCTTTGAAAAGAAATAAATGCAGGATTTTTTTAATATAAAAAAGAGATAAAAGAATTTTATTACAGAAGGGAGGTGAGACTATAACATAGAGTAAGAGCGACCATATATACTACGACCCCATTTGACAACAACATTATAATTTAGCGTTATCATTTTAAAAAAATTATCTAAAGGGTCCATTTAGAAATAACGTTTTCAATTACCGATAAAAATTTAACTGTGCAGATTAACTTTGTAAACTCTAATGATAAATGTTGTTTATAAATAATCTTTTCAAAACACCAACGCTAACCACTTACGCTATTACCAAAAAATCTAACGGTAACCTTTAAGGATTAATATTTTCAAAATTAGTATACAACGTTAAATTTTTTATTCAAAATACTAATGTTAATCGAAAATGGTACCAATCTGAAGATATTTACATTTTGTTAAATGTATCAAATGACCCGCCAAGGCTAAAAGCCTAAAATGAAAATATATATGTTGGCTTGCACAAGGATCAATCCGGCCGGCAAGGCTAAAATGACCCGCCAAAGGCCCAACCGCCCAAAAGTACCTCTCGATCAGAGTCCCCCTCCTCCCATGGCCGCCTCGCTCCGGAATGCGGGTTCCCGTTTTCAACTCCCCAGACTCCGCTCATTCTCTTCGTCGGCCGCCGCGACACCGCGTGCCCGGAATTTCTTCTCCGACGACATCAACGGCGAAGAAAGCGCAGTGTACAAGCACACCCTCAAGTTCCAGAAGCCATCCACCATAACTCGCGCCCCCAAAATCTACAATTCCGTCAGCTTCATCGGAACGGCCGATTTTCCTCTCACGCGAATCAGCACTCGCGGCGGCGCCTCGTTTGGCCTGCATACTTTTCTCAATGTCTCAACCTCTTCTGCCTGTAAAAATCCTTTCAAGTAAGAATTCAGCTGGTTTCCCATCTTTTATAGTTATTTTTTATATAAATTTTAACAATTGCGTACATAAATTTAGTATTTTTCTCAATTTTTTTGGGATATGAAATAATAGTTTGTGAATTTTACTTTCCATTTTGATTTTTTTTGGACTGACAATGATATCAGAAATAAATGAATAAATATCAAGAAATTAGTACTCCGTATTAATTTAGGGTTTAGAAAGATATAAACTGCGTCTTAGTGAATTAAAAATGAACAATATAATCTTTCTTGTAGAGAATTTGGTTTTGTATATGCAAAAATGTTAAGTTTAAGGCCTAACTGTTATTTTAAAAAAAAGATTTTTGTGATTTGTTTCAATATGGACAAATTCTTTCAAAATTTTCAATTTAGTCATGAGGCTTGTGACGTTTAAAAAAAACTTGGAGTTATTATAATAATTTGTATAATTTGTTAATGCAATTACGCTTCTCATTCTAAGAGCTCATTTGGTATATACCTATAAATTAGGTTTGAAATTTTTTCTTCAAACACTTTCCCGGAAAATGACACATTAAACTTCTCTTGCTTCTTAATTTCCATGAAGTTTTGGGCAGTAAATGCAGCAATGCATTTGGTAAGATTTTGTGCATCTTGACTCCCAGAGTCTCAGGCCCCAATGGAGTTGAGATTATTTTGGGTTATTGTTGTTGTTGTAAACACTTTCCAGTATGTAACCACCACATTATTCTTCCTGCGGGCATTTTGGGTGCCATTAATTTCCATCCAGTTCTAATTGCCAGGGTTTTAATTAGTTAATTATTACAATTTACGAGTAGTATTCTTTGTGTTTAGGTCCAAATGGACAACTATGAAGGGAAAGAAAACATAAAATTCATATATAAGGGAAATAATTGAAAGATGATATAGGAGTATTTAGCAATATTTTCATCAAATTTCACAAAATTGAAAATGGCTGAATGTGATGGATGCTGATATTTTGGATTGGTGGATAGGATTAAGCTGAAGATGTGGGGTGATGTGGCTGAACTTTCTTTGAAGCATATAAGACAGAACGATTTGATTTATGTTTCGGGTAACTTAACATCATATGTTATGACTGGTCATGAAGGAAATCCGAGGTTATTTCACGAGGTACAGAGATCACCAGATGTTTACAGTTATGTCATGTACACTCTAGTCTTCTTATTACTGAACAAGAAAAACGATTTTACTGAGTACTTGTTCACACAATCATAAATCAAAGTATGTGGCTTTATAAAGGATTTACATTTTGTAGGTAATCGTTAAAGAAATTAATTTTGTTGCTGGACATAGTAAGGCTCCTACCTGCCGGGAGGGCAAGAAAGCAGAATTAAGCGGTGAGTTCCAAATTCGTACGTTTAGGCTCTTTTTGTTAAACGAATTGCTAACTGACGCGTGTCATCCAAACAAGGCCTTAGTGGGCGATGTTACTTTACTGCACTTGGCACATAAGATTTGCTTATTGAAATTAATGGAAATCATGGGGTAATGTATAGAATACATTGTAAAATTTGGATTTATATTATCCAATTTCATGCCCATCAATTTACATATTTCAGATGAAGATAGAGCAGAGATGGACCGAAGGCGGCTTCATTTATGGCAAGTGTTCTTCAGCAGCCCATGTGAGTGGTGGGACAACAGGGAGAAGAAGTTAAATTCAAAAGCTCCAGATTTTAAGCACAAGAACACCGGTGAAGCGCTATGGCTCAAGCAGGACGATCCGCCATGGATTAGAAGACAGCTTGAGTTGCTGGATTCAACACCTGTTAGAAGAGATTCAGGAAATTCACAGGTTTCTCCATTGACATACGATATTTAGGTGTACAAAGGATTGAAAAGATGGGATATACTCCATATATGGTTAATCAATCATCCTCTACATTTACATATGTGCAGGTTATATTTTTCTTTTACTTTTACAGGTTATAATTTTTTTATAAGCACATATACATTGTTTTTTTTATTTATTTAAAATTACAATCAACTGGGACATGTATTGTAATTGTTGGGAAAAAATGGATGGAAAGAATATGTTTGGCGTGAACCTGAAAAGTTTTGGGATCCTTTGTAGTAGAATTTAGAATCACAATTATAGAGTATGAAAATGTTTTTGGATTTTCTTAAATCTGAATTGAGGCATCGACTCGATTCAGTAAGTTGAGAAATTACGTTTAAATAGATATTGCATTGTAATTATAATACTAATATAAGAAAATTTAAGCAATTCTTTTAGTCAAATTTACATTGATTGCAATTTGCATATCATTACATGCTATACAAATCTGCAAAATGTCAAATTTAACTCTCTAATGGCCTTGGCCATACAAGTTTAATTGATAATAGATCAACTTTGGTACATTAAACACATTTTTTGCACAAGCTTTATCTGAGTGATGATATGTGTAACTCGTGTATAAACACATTCGTACGAGCTTTAACCGAGTGTTTTCATTCATGAACATGCTTAAACAATCTATTAACAAAGCATTTCTTCAAATGAGCCCATTATGTTTTAGAGATTAGGCAAATTCTATAGTGGACCTACATTTGAGAGAAAAAAATATTTTTTACTATTTAGATAAGCATTTGTTTTTTTAAAAAATATTTTTTTTGTCAGAAGGTCCACAAAATTTGTATACACCCAAAGCGCACCATAGCACTCAGATTAATACCCAAGCAATGAAACAAGAGTTTGTATTCTTTGTACTATTTGTTTAGTTTAATGAAGCAAATATGAACCAACACTTAACAAACTCGAACACAAGTTGTTCCCCGAACCCTACCCGTAGGTAGAGGGAGGGGGATTAAGAGAATCATTTTATGGAGCAAGTTTTAAGGAAACATAAGCATTGCTTTGTAAGTTGGTCCAAATAAGTATAATAAGTATCAGAAATTCAGAGTTTAATTTACGGAGTGTTGGATACGACAAAGACCAAAGTCATAGAGAGTTGGCTGTTATACAGATACATATATAGATACAAAAAACAGAGCAGAAAGAGAGTGCTTCGGCTGGCAGCAACCCAACAATCTTGGTACATTAAAGAAATTACCATGGCATTTGTGACCAATGATTAATCAAAAAGGTAGAGGATTAGTCACAGTCCCGATGAAGACAATAACTCCGGTCAAATCTTCTCGGATGAAAAAGAGAAACGGATGATCAGCTACAAAATCCACCTTCTTGTCTTCCACCAACAAGCTCCTTAGGTTCACAGTAGCCACGGTGGCAGCTGCAGCTTCTGTGCCTTCCTCATTGACCTCGATATACGACTTGTGGAATATTTGTGAAACATATAGCACACTTCCCGCAGCAGGGGAGTCCACCATCTCAGTGAGGCCCCCTCCCGCAAATGGAGCCACCACCCCAAGCTCCTTCAGAACCTTTGAAGTCTCAAAACCAAATGATAACTTGAATTTTGGGATACGAAACTCACCCACTCCAACAGGATTGTAGGGGAGGCAATGATCCAAGAGCGCAGACTCAGAATAGATCTTATGCATTAAAGATGGCAGCCCGTCCTTGGCATCTGGTAAGAAGATGTACATGGAGAAATGACGCTTATCTTCCCCTTGTTCATAGGGAAGTCTCAATGCTTTGAAACCTTTGAAGGATTTCACACATTGTTTCTTCTTACTGCTCATGAATGGGACTTGTACGGAGCTCCCATTAAGGAGGTGGAACTCGTTGTCCTTTGTCTCTAATGGATTGAATTTATCAGCCCAGTTTCCTTTGAAATACAAGGCATTTGCTAAAACGAGTCGAGTTGTACTGTCGACTGCACCAACAGGAAGTATCTCTTTGATAAGACCGCCAGTCTCCTTCTCTACCCACAAATTTACCTGGTTAGCCGCTTCATTTGCCTGCAAAATCAAGGATAGAGAGACCATATATTGATAAGAGCCAATTTTTGTTCCAAGTGTGGTAGATTGAAAGTGATCCATTGACAACCCCAAGCTAAAATTGATCTAAATCCAGAATTGGATTCACACTTCCAGAGTTTCAATACTTGAAGTTCATTCGTACAAAAACAAAAACAGTTGGTGTGCATAATTTAAAGAGAAGAACACAGTAGAAGTTAATTTTATAGTAGTAGTAGTAGTAGTAGGGTTAGGTCAATACAATATAGAGCGATCGAAATGAAAGATTAAAACCCTAACCTTGTTTTGGAAATCGGCCGATTCAGAGACGGCCTTGTAAACAGTCTCCGCGACAAGTTTGAAGGAAGCCTTCAAAGGCAGAGTCTGCTCGATCCACGCACCGTTTGCCACGGACAATCGGGGGCCCCCAACGCGACTGCCGTCGGCGAAGATGGCGGAGACGACCTGAGAAGAGAAGGCGTTAAGATCTTCGGATGACTTGGAGTTGAGGAAATCGAGGAGCTGGTGGAGAGTGGAGCCTTTGGAACCGGCGGCGATGAGGCCCAATAAGACGTTGATTGAGAGAGGAGAGAGGATAAGGTTTGAATCGTCTTTGGTGACGGTGGAGAAGACGTGATTCGCTAGCTTGAAGGAAACGCAAACATGATTCCTGATCGATTCTCGGATGTCCATTTTCACCTGAGGATTTCTGAGCAGAGTGGAAAGAAGAGAAGACTCAGAAAAGAAGGCGATGGAGAGAAATTGGGACTATAATGTTTCTAAGTCTTTTCCATATTGACTTTTTAAAGAAATTAAAGAAGGGATATTTTGGTATTGACTTTTCAAAAGTATTTCTGATGTGATAGATAAAATTAAGATGTGATAAATAGATTATTACTAAAAAGGTATGATGTGATTGATGGGGTATGAAAAAGTAAGGAGTAAAAGTGATTTTTTAATAAATAAGGGAAGAAGTTAGTAGGACAAGAAAAAAAGAAAAGGGAAGGAGTTTAAATGACAGATGGACTACTTTTACAATCTTTACATTTCTAAGGCCAAAGTAGGACTAAAATATTGAAAATATACCAAAACATGACTTTCATGTTTTTATTTTCGAAATAGGACTTAAAATTGATTTGAAAAGATCTTTCCCAAGGAAGGAGTACTTTCTATTATTGATTATGAAGTTAGAGTGTGTGTAGATGGAGAGAGTGTTCAATGGTCAACCCATGTTTGAGATGAGGAGATTGTTGGGAATCTATTAAATATGTGCAGATTAGCTTGCAATTTGTCCACCTTCTCTTGGAATGTTGGACTTTTGGTAATGCACAATTGGGTGTTCTCTTTTCTTATCCTATGCCTAACAACGCCCAACTCGTTTGATAAGAGCTGGTGGTGAACAAATTGCCAAGTGCAAGTTCATAAACACAGAATAGATAGAACATAAGTTATTATAATAAGATATCCATTAAATGATTTCATTCCCATCAAAATATTCTTAAGAAACATCAATCTAATAAAAACTTAACATTAAACGATAAACATTCATCTACGGAGAAAAGTATGTTTCCATGCGCTCTTAATTTAAATAACCATAAATACTACCTAGTATGCTAGCTAGTCTACTAAAAAAATCTGGCCTGGATGATTATTCAAGAGGATTAATCACAGTCCCGACCAAGACAATGGTCCCGGACAAATCTTCTCGGATGAAATAGAGAAATGGATGATCAGCTACAAAATCCACCTTAACTACTCTCTCCATGGCGCCGGCAGAGGCAGACATTCCAACAACAACCACTGTGGCAGCAGCAGCTTCTGTGCCTTCCTCATTCACCTCAACAAAAGATTTTTGTATTATTTTTGAAACATGGAGTTTACTCTCAACCATCTCAGTGATACCCTCTTCTCCACCAAAAGGACACACCACCCCAAGCTCCTTTAGAATCTTTGAGACATCAAACCCATAGGATATTTTGAATTTTGGGATACGAAAGTCGCCCACTTCAACGGGATATGTGGGAAGGAAACGCTGGAATTCGTCCGATAGCCCATACTCAGAATAGACCTTATGCATCAAAGATGGAAGCCCGTCCTTGGCTTCCGGCAAGAAGATGTACATGGAGAAGTGACGACGTTTATCCTCGCCTTGTTTATAGGGCATTCTCAATACCCTGAAGCCTTGAAAGACTCTCACGCGTTGATCATTCCAACTGCGCATGAATGGGACTTGTGTGGAGCTCCCATCAAAGAGGTGGAACTCGCCATCCTTTGTGTATGATGCGTTAAATTTCTCCGCCCAGACTCCTTTGAAATACAAGGCATTTGCTAATATGAACTGAGTTGTATCATCGACTGCATCGGGTGGGAGTATTTGTTTGATAAGACCACGGGTCTCCTTCTCAACCCACAAATTCACCTCTTCAGCCACTTCAATTGCCTGCCCATTCGAGCACAAGAAAGACGTACCATATATTATTAATAAGCCTCATTTTTTTTTTTGAAAATTCCAAATTAAACTAACTAAAGATTGGACTCTTACCTACCAAGATGTTAATTTATGGCATGGTAAAACTATATTCATTTTTTTAATTTTTCTTAATTCTAAACCAATATTCTTATAAAATGATGAATGACATAAAATTTTATTTTTAAATTCTAAACTAATGTTCATATACATTTTATTTTTCAATTCTAAACCAATATAAACCAAATGGCGTAAGGACATGTTTTAAAGCATATTAACCATCTTCTTTATTTGCATGCATATCGACCAAAAACATAACCAGAGAAAGGAGGGAAAGACAAAAAAATTATAAAAACATACGGAGTAAAACATAGTATGTACAGTCTTAATTAAAGTATGAACAGAATTTTTAAAATGACTTCTTATATAGTCCTTACAAAATATGCCATTAATGAATGAAAAAAGATGATCACACAAAAATAATTAGTACTTCATATTATATAATGACCAATTGAGATAATGTTATACTCCCTCCGTTTCTCAAAACAGTACCAGTTCCTGTTTTGACTTTGGGTAGAAATAAGGAAAATGTAATTTTAGTTGACTTTCTAATTTTGCCTCTGATGTGATGATTAAAAGTAAGATGTGATAGTTTAGTTATTAGTGAACAAGTATGATGTGATAGGTAGGGTGTGAAAAAGTAGGGATAAAAGTGGTTTTTTAATAGAAAAGGGAAGTGTTTTAAGAAAAACAAGAAAAATGAAAGAGGAAGTGTTTTAAGAAACGGAGGAAGTATCAAATTGTAAGCACATGAATTATATAATGACATCAAATTGTAAGCACATGAATTATATAATTGACATCATACCAACTTCTTACATAATGATCTTGACTAAAAAATAAGTACTCGGACTACTTAATGCCCAGTTGGATAGTGTACGATTAAGCCCTTCCTTGGTTAGGAACTACTCCCTAAATCATAGGACTTGCACAATGTGAAATACTCCAGTGTCTCCTAAAACATTTTAACTGTCATTTCTTACTCGTCCTATAAAACATTTTAATTTCATCTAAATGGGCATAATTGTACTTACTTTTCTTAAATTTAACCAAACATACCCCAACTATCTTATTCGCTTAATCCATTCTGTCATTTTTCGAGTCCAACTTGTTTCAATTGTTGTTTTTTCGCTTTGGTTAAACTTCTATATTTTTCCTTTCCAAAAATCAAAACCTGAAAATTTTTTCGGTACGGAGGAAGTATAATAATGAGTCTAAATGTCTTAGTTATGTACAATAAAATGCCTGCTAGTATGTTAGAACATCACATCTTAAATATCCAAGAGCAGTTGACTCAAAATAAATTGCATAAGTTATGTTTTGATAGGTCACATACAATGGAGTTGTTCCATTGAGAATTAATTGCATAGTGTGTATATAATGTCTAAAGTGGAAGATGATGGATAATGTGAGATTAAAAAGTGTAAGTACATATTTTAGAGCTAATGACCATCTTTTTTGTCTACTTAATGACCTGTCTACATAATGACCAAAAAGAGATTTTTTTTTTAGGAAAACCCAAAGGACATAGCAATTGCGAAAAAAGTTAATTAAGAGATGACACCTATACCTCTCTGGCTCTCTTTCCAAAATTGTAGGAGTAACTAATTACTCCTTTCTTCAAAAAAAAAATTTGTTTTAAATTTTTTAGTCAAACAAGGATACCATTGGATCAAAATTCAAACATAATCTAAATAAAAAATTGATAAAAAAATTTAATGTATCAAAATTGTATTAATAATTAGAATAACATACCTTGTTCTTGAAATCGACGGATTCACAAGCTGTTGAGAATTAAACCACACAACACACACAAATATCTGCGAGAAACGAGAGAAACGGAACACAAACGACACACAAGAATTTAACGTGGTTCGGTTTCCCTAATTCACGGCTGCAACAGGAGGATTTTCTTATTTCACTTGTGGTGTCAATTACAAGTACAAGTATGCAATATATATATATATATATATATAGGAAGAGTGCATCTAGGGTTTCGTAACATGGGTCGGGCCAAAAGTCAAGCCCAAGCCTCCACAAACCCAACATTCTCCCACTTGGAGGCTTGATAGTCATCAACTGCCATCCACCACGATTGCCTGTACATCGAGTAATCTTTCCTCAGCTCTCCTGTTGCAGCGGCCCTATCATCAGACAACTGAAAGGCCCGTTGAAGCTCTCCCAAGCTCCAACACATCAGTCACGGCAAAATCTGCCCCGGACTCGTCCTCGGTCCCTACCGGCTCCCACTGCAGATGCACACTGCCGGATCCTGGAACATCCTGAGAACAAACAATCTCCGTACTCAGCAAGAAATTTTCTGGAGATGTTCCAACAGCTGGAATACTGATTCTCCTGACCCACTGTCTTCTAGGCAAATTGGCTGAAGCGCCTCTTGAGCTCCCACTGCCACAAATACCTCTGACTGGCCTCCTTGAACCTTTCCTCGCTCGTTCATCCTGAGTCTGATCAGTGGCTCTAGGTTTCTCTCTTGCACAGACAACCTTATTCTGCCCACGAGACTCTGTGAACCGGACTTTGTTTCTCTTCTGAACTGGGACGGTCACTCCCTCAGATGGTAACTCGACCATATATAGCGAACCTCTTTTCTTTCCACGGGCCATGACAAGATTTCCCTTCACGACCTTCCACTGTCCATCTCTGAACTTCACCTCGTGTCCCTGTTCGTCCAACTGCCTGACAGAAATCAAACTTTTCTTCAAGGCTGGAACCACTCTGACATCCTTCAAAGTCCAAAGACCGACTGAGGTCTTCAACACCATGTCACCCATGCCCGTCACCTCAAGAGCTCTATCGTCTGCTAGTCGTACCTTTCCAAAGTCTCTAACAACCAGATTCTGTAATACTTCACCGCTGTGGGTAGCATGAAATGAAGCACCAAAACCCATGACCCAGGAATCCACATTGCTCTCCGCACAACAAGTAAGAAGGACCTCTTCATCACTCGCGGAGCCTTCAGCAATGTTCACTTTCTTGTCATTCGGGCATTGATTCCTATAATGCCCCACCTCCTTGCATTTCCAGCACGTTACACCTGAGCTGTCACGAGTCTTCGACTGACTCCTTTGTCTGTTCCTGCTCCCACTACCTCTGTTATTTTTTCTGCCTCTACCAACATGAAGCAATTCACCAGATGACTCCCCCGAACTCTTTCTTCTGACATCCTCGCCAAGAACGAGATCTCGAATCTGATCAAAGGTGAATCCATCAGGTCCCACTGAACCGGTAACCGCTGTGACCGTTCCGGACCAACTATCAGGCAAAGACGATAGCAGTAGCAAAGCTTGAACTTCATCATCGAACTTAATGCCCACTAACGCAAGTCTGGTTAAGATCGAATTCAGCTTGTTGATATGCTCGGTAACTGAAGTGTTTTCTTTCATCCTTGTGTTCACCAGCTCTCTAATCAGAAAAACTTTATTCGCTGCAGATGGCTTCTCGTACATGTTAGACAGCGCGTCCATAATTCCCTTCGCTGTCTTCTCCTTCAGAATGTTGAAGGCAACATTCTTGGTCAACGAGAGACGGATCACGGACATTGCTTTCCGATCCAAACCTGTCCAATCTGCATCCGACATCTTTTCTGGCTTGTCACCCAATACCACGTCCAAATCTTTCTGAACCAGCAAATCTTCAATTTGCATCTTCCACCAACTGAAATCTGTACCATCGAACTTCTCAATTCGAAACTTCCCATCTTCTGCCATCTCAAACGACTAGACGAGATACCCGGTACAACTAATTTCAGGTCTTGGTATTTTTTTCAGAAAAACAGGTCCACCACTCCAATCAATCAAGCCCAAAACCAACCCACCAAAAAAAATGCTACGGCCCAAAAAATCAATGGAGAAAGGCTGACCAGTGACCACTGCCTTCTCTCTTTTTTCGTCCGGCCGGCCCTTTTTTTCTTTGTTTCGGCGACTGCTTCAGCGGAGCAAAACAGGGATGGCGATGGCACTGCGCTCTGCTCTGGACGACGGCGGCGACTCGGCGAGCGATCAGATGACACCTGCTCGCGGACGGCGACTGACGGCTAGACGGAGGGCGGCAGCACCTCCACCCGGCGGCGGCTCCTTCTGCCGCTGCTCCTGTGTGCGGCGGTCTGTACGCAAACGGCGGCGGCGATCCTCGCGGCGACGGTGGAAAGACCCAGCGGCGACGATCTGATCTGACAGCGGCGGCGCGATCTGAAACGGCGTGGCTTCGCGGCGGCTCCTCAACCTGGCGGCGGCTCTGCGGCTGGACTGCCTTCTGCACGGCCTCGCGATCCAAGAGGTCAACGGCGGCGCTAGAAGGGATGCAGCGGCGGCTCGCAAACGGTGGCGAACACCTGCGCAGATCTCCCCTTCTCGCACAGGCGGCGCTACACTTCTCTTTCTCCACAATCCAACGATCCAGATCTGCAAACCGTAGGTGACAGCTCCTCGCTATTCGTGTTCTCGTGTTGAACAACCAAGTCTCTGATACCACTTGTTGAGAATTAAACCACACAACACACACAAATATCTGCGAGAAACGAGAGAAACGGAACACAAACGACACACAAGAATTTAACGTGGTTCGGTTTCCCTAATCCACGGCTGCAACAGGAGGATTTTCTTATTTCACTTGTGGTGTCAATTACAAGTACAAGTATGCAATATATATATATAGGAAGAGTGCATCTAGGGTTTCGTAACATGGGTCGGGCAAAAAGTCAAGCCCAAACCTCCACAAACCCAACACAAGCGGCCTTGTAAACAGTCTCCAGGACATGCTTGAAGGAAGGCTTCACAGGCAGAGTCTGCTCGATCCACGCGCCGTTAGCCACCGACAGTCGCGGGCCGCCGGCAGGACTGCCGTCGGCGAAGATGGCGGAGACGACGCGAGAATAGAAGGCGTTGAGATCGTCGGTCGACTTGGCGCTGAGGAACGCGAGGAGCTGGTGCAGTGAGGGGCCTTCAGAGCCGGCGGCGAGGAGGGCCAAGATGACGTTGATTGAGAGAGGGGAGAAGACGAGGTTGGAATCTGTTTTAGTGACGGTGAAGAAGACGTGATTCGCCAGCTTGAAGGAGACGTCGACATGATTCCTCATCCATTCTCGGACCTCCATATTCTCCGGCGGCGGATTTGTGGGAGGAAGAACAGAGCCCCAAGAAGAGAAGGCGGCCATGATGAAAACTGGAATGATGAGAAAGGAAAACTTCTTTAGAGTTTATTTAGAATAGGTTTGTTTTTAAGGGGTTTGAATAGAACCCAATCCTTATTGGGTTATTATGGTAGACTCCTTCGTAGATATTACGCTACCGTGTAACTTCTAAGCTAACACGCCCACCCTTAATTACCAATACCTTCAAAATAATAAAATACCCTTTGCACTATCCATCTTTTTATAACTTAGGTTCGGTTCCATCCAATTTATTGGATATGATATGATTTAATTTTTTTGTAATTCTGATCTGATTTGATTAAATCTGATTTGATCTGATCTGATAGAAGAGAATAATAAATACTAAGTAAAAGATTATTTAAGAATGAAGAAAGTACATAACTGAAAATCTAGTGAATAAAGATCTTTTTAATTGCACTCACGAGTTAATACTCGTTTTTGTCCATGTAAGTGTACTTACGAGTTAATTTTGTCTTTGTAGGTTTGGTGTAGTCAAATTAGTCCTTGTAATTAGAAAATGTCAATCAAATTAGTTTTTTATGAAAAATTTATCTTCTAAAATTCTAAAGTCATTGCTCTTGCATCAATTAAAGCGATAATTCAGAATTTTAGAAGATAAATTTTGTTCGAAACAATAATTTGATTCACATTTTCTATATGTAGGGATTAATTTGACTCAAATGAGCGGTGAACTCTCTCCTACTCCCTCCGTTCTTTAAAAAAAATTATTTTTGACTTTTGCACGATATATTTTTAATATGATTATTATGATTATTATTATGATTATTATTATGATTATTATTATTATTATTATAATGATAACAACTATTTTATTCATAACTATAATTTATAAATTATTTCATTTCTTTCGCCACTTCTTGTTCAAACTCTGTCTAAAAAAGAATAGTAGTTGTAATCAATAATAATGATGATTATTATTATTATTATTATTATTATTCTTAGTCTTATTATTATTATTATTACAACTATTAATCAATTCTCATTTGGTTAGTTAAATGAACAAAGAAATGTCTGATTTTAGAGCTCGAAATTAAACAAACAAAGCTTGAAAATGTCAAACTCGTTTGATAATAGCTCGGGGTGAACAAAATGCTACTCCCTCCGTTTTTTAAAACACTTCCTCTTTCATTTTTTTTACTTCCAACAAAACACTTCCACTTTCTATTAAAAAACCACTTTTACCCTTACTTTTTCATACCCTACCTATCACATCATACTTTATCTCTAATAATCTATCCATCACATCTTACTTTTACCTATCACATCAAGGGCAAAATTGGAAGTCAACTACAATTTAATACTTCCTTATTTTTACACAAAGTCAAAATAGGAACACTTTTTCCAAACGGAGGGAGTAAGAGTTTGTTATGCTTGTTTGTGAACAGGTTAATCTAAAAATGGTATAGAGTAGTTCGAGAACGACATACATATTTAGTCATTTAAACGATTATGCGAATACTTAAAAAAACTCAAAGTTGATTATTGAACACCACTACAACTAGAACATATTTTTGTGTCTTTATTTATATAATCATCATAAACTTTGCCTAATACTCTTTCAAAAAAAAACCTTCGATTTTAATGACCCTAAGCCATTTCACCTACAAAATTAGCCGGGCAGCGGATTGATTATTTAAGAGGATTTATCACAGTCCCAATCAAGACAATGGCTCCCGTCACATCTTCTCGGATAAAGTAGAGAAAGGGATGGTCAGCTACAAAATCCACACTGTCTTCATCCGAGAAGATGTGACGGGAGCCATTGTCTTGGCTGGGACTGTGATAAATCCTCTTGAATAATCATTCGGGCCGGCTCATTTTGTAGGTGAAATGGCTTAGGGTCATTAAAATCGAAGGTTTTTTTGAAAGAGTATTAGGAAAAGTTTATGATGATTATATAAATAAAGACACAAAAATATGTTCTAGTTGTAGTGGTGTTCAATAATCAACTTGTTTGAGTTTTTTTAAGTATTCGTATAATTGTTTAGATGACTAAATATGTATGTCGTTCACAAACTACTCTATACGATTTTTAAGTTAGCTTGTTTACAAACAAGCGTAACAGACTCTTAGCATTTTGTTCACCACGAGCTATTATCAAACGAGTTTGACATTTTCAAGCTTTGTTTGTTTAATTTCGAGCTCTAAAATCAGACATTTCTTTGTTCATTTAACTAACAAAATGAGCACCGGTTAATATCTGTAATAATAATAATAATAATAATAATAATAATAATAATAATAATAATAATAATAATAATAATGAAAGCTACTCCCTCCGTTTGAAAAAACACTTCTCATTTGATTTGGGGGCAAAAATAAGGAAGTGTTAAATTATAGTTGATTTCCAATTTTGCCCCTAATGTGATGGGTAAAAGTAATATGTGATGAATAGATTATTAGAGAAAAAATATGATGTGATAGGTAGGGTATGAAAAAGTAAGGGTAAAAGTGGTTTTTTAATAGATAGAGGAAGTGTTTTGTTGGAAGTGGAAAAAATGAAAGAGGAAGTGTTTTTGAGAACGGAGGGAGTATTATTCTTTTTTAGACAGAGTTTAAATAAGAAGTAGCGGAAAAGATGAAATAATTTATAAACTATAGTTATAAATATAATAACTATAATAATAATAATAATAATAATAATAATAATAATAATAATAATAATAATATCGTGCAAAAGTCAAAAATAAGAATTTTTGAAGAACGGAGGGAGTAGGAGAGAGTTCACCGCTCATTTCAATCAAATTAATCCCTATATATAGAAATGTGAATCAAGCTAGTCCCTGAACCAAATTTATCTTCTAAAATTCTAAATTATTGCGTTAATTGATGCAAGAGCAATGGCCTCGTGTATTATTTTGTGTCAATTAACGTGACCTTAGAATATTACGAGTAGAAGATAAATTTTACATAAAGAACTAGTGATGCAAGAGCAATGTGCGTCTTTATTTCATCATCATATTTTATTTTAAAACTTTTTATTTATTTCCATTTTTAATTTAATTATATATTTGTTAAACAAGCTAAACTATTTATGTTATTTCATTATTTCATAAAATAAAGTGTTAAGTGTCTGTTTTGCAAAGAAAAACTTGATATGTTTTCAATACCTGATAGCACACATGTGGATCAAAATTTAAGTGTGCCTTTTGATTAAATTAAAGAAATAGAGAATATGAACTTAGTGGTTTGTTGATTATAGTATTTAAAAGATAAAAGAAAATTAAAGAAAATTTACAAGTGTTCTTCAATCTTTTACTTGATCAATATATTAATTATATTGATCAAGTAAATTTAGGGGGTGTATTCAATTAGGAGTTTGTGGAAATTTTTTAGGACTTTAAATTTGTGAATTTAGAAAATCTATGGACTTCATGTTGAATTTGGGTCTATCTCAGTCATTATTAGCTTCTCTTGATTAAATACAATCTTTATTTTCATTAAATCAATCTATCACAAGATTCAAATCAAATACGGATGATTAAAATACACACAGTAACTTTTAATTCTTAACGAGTTACTTTTGTAAAATAAATAATACTTATTTATTTTAAAAATTGTAATAAACTACTAAATCGGTTTTTAGGGCGCTACACACAAAAATTTCATCCAAAGCAAACGAAAGTCATTTTTCCACTTTGAGAAATTTCTTTCTCTAAAAAATGATTTTCCACCACTGATGTCTTTTGGAACCTAACGCAGGAAAGTTTCCTTGAAAAGTATTTTACTTTTTAACCATATAATCCCTCCGTTTGGAAAAAGTGTTCCTCTTTTGACTTTGTGTAAAAATAAAGAAGTATTAAATTATAATTGACTTCCAATTTTGCCCTTGATGTGATAGGTAAAAGTAAGATGTGATGGATAGATTATTAGAGATAAAGTATGATGTGATAGGCAGAGTATGAAAAAGTAAGGGTAAAAGTGGTTTTTTAATAGAAAGAGGAAGTGTTTTGTTGGAAGTGAAAAAAATGAAAGAGGAAGTGTTTTTGAAAACGAAGGGAGTAGATGTTAAAAGTTACTCCATCCGACAAGATTTAATCTTTCAATTTGACTTTTTTTTGTCAGAGTTTGTAAACTTTGACCTTAATATGCAGAAAAATACGTTGTATATTGATATAACCGTAATATTGATATAAACTTTTACCTTAATATGCGGAAAAATACATTGTATATCGATTCTTTCCATCCCAAAAAAGCAATATTAATGGTCAGAGTATTATATCAGAGACTATAAAAAGATAAATGAAAAGATTAAAATCCGGACATATGGAGTAGAATCTAAAAGAACAAAACCTTAATTAAACATTGAAGAAATTTTTAAAGCAAAAAGAAATTTATTCGACCCAATGTGTGGCACAGAATACTAGTAATATAAACTACCAACCTGTTTTCTTTATAGGAAGGAGAAAGAAAAATTTGAAAATGGGATGGAGGGAGTGATATACTAGTGGATTCAGAGCAATATTTACAAGAAAATGTTAGAGTCACAAATAAATAGTTAACAAACTTTACAAACTTGCCTTTTCTAGATTTTAAATTAAAATATATTTTATTATTTGAATACATCTTATTCTAGAAAAATGTTAAAAAGACAAGTTTATAAATTTTGTGAACTATTTGTTTGTGACTTTAGTATTACTCATATTTACGTGACACAAAAAGTATATATTGAGAGAGCATTAAATAGTCACCTCTTATTGGAGATAGTTAAAGCATTCATGCTCATTTTGGTTAGTGAAATGAACAAACAAAATGTCTAGTTTTAAAGCTCAAAATTAGACAAACAAAGCTTGATCAAACAATGGCAAACTCGTTGGATAAGAGCTCGTGGTGGCTAAGTATTCCTTAAGCTTTTTTTTCTGAACAAGCTTAGCTAAAACTCATACATCCTTCATCCCATAAAGATTTTTCCATTTTAACTTTTAGAAAATTTAAGAGAGTGATATTTTTGTGTTGACTTTCCAAAAATATTCTTAATCGGATGGGTAAAAGTGAGATGTGATGAATAGATTATTAATAAAAAAATATGATGTGATAGGTAGGATAAGAATTAGTAAGGATATAAAAGTAATTTTTTGGATTGGGAAATGATTTTGTGGAACAAGAAAAAAAGAAAAGAGAATGAGTTTATAGGATGGTAAGAGAAAGGTGAAAGAGTTTAGGGAGAAAAACCAAAATATGACTAAAACATTGAATATATACCAAAATAGGACTTCTATATTTTTATTCCAAAATAAGGCTTACATTACCATGGTTATGTACATTACCAAAAAGGTATAGTAATGTGCACATGTACACTGCCACATTATTACTGTGCAAAGTTCTATTTCGAGAAAAAAAATATGAAAATCTTATTTTGATACTTTTTTCTATGTTTTAGTCTTATTTAGGATAATATCTAAAGACTTTATGTGAAAAGGCTTAAACCTACCCAGTACTACACTAGTAAGGCTTAAAGGTTAGCCTACGCCGTAGTATTTAGCCGCCCAATTTCATTTCTTACTCCGTGTCTAATTATGACTCATCTCATATTTTCATATCCTACTTTATTACGGAGTATAAGAAGATTAAGAACAGAGAGTAGTTTTTGGTGTTAATATTTTACTTGAGTAAAAAATATTCTCTCCGTTCCACTCTTTTTGTCCACTTTCATTTTTGCACACCATCTAATGCACTTCTTTAATCCATTTTATCTTGTAATTTGTATATTAAAAAATTATAAAAATTATATATTAATAATCTATATGTTAAGACAAATCAAACAAGATCACACATGACTATTTTTAAACTTACACATTGAGAGAATTTGATGAGTCAAAGTGCTTAGATGAACAGTTCCAAAAGTCAAAACTGGACAAAAAGAGTGAAACGGAGGTAGTAATCTACTAAGTTTAAAGTGTAAATCAGCGACGTTGTTGGCAAACAATTTTCCTAATTATATGTGTTGTGTACTTTTTTTAATATGAGCTTGGGGTGCGAAACCCACAAGAGATTACCAAAAAAGAGCCATGCTAAAATTGAATAGTTTGTAAGTTGGTCCAAATAATAAGTATCAAGCATGCAATATATATAACGAATACTAAACGAGTAATTTACCTAAATATGACTAAAATATAATGACTTTCCTAATATAGGACCATATGTTTTTATTTTCTAATGTAGGACCTTTGGTCATTATGAAGTAGTCATTATTCAAGTAAATTTTCATCATTATGGACATTATTCCTCCCACTAGGTCATTATTAAGTCCTATTTAGGAAATAAAAAAGTTTAAGTCCTACATTAGGAAAGTCATTATGTTTTAGTCCTATTTAGTGCAAATTTCACGTACTAAAAACAAATGAGAGCTTAGCAACAATTTAACAATCTCGGCACGTTATAGGAAGTGCCATTTGACACCAGAGAACTCGCTCCAGGGGGCGAGGGAGGGATCGATTTCGCGATTTGCGACCAAGAATGATTGTTCAAAGAGGATTAGTCACAGTCCCGAGCAAGAGAATGGTTCCGGAAATATCTTCCCGGATAAAATAGAGAAACGGATGGTCCGCTACAAAATCCACCTCTTCTTCTTCCTCCGGCCGCCAGCAGGCACCAATCCCATAAGTCACGGTTGCAGCACCAGCTTCAGTGCCTCCCTCGTTAACCTCGACAAAAGACTTGTGTATTATTTGTGAGACATAGACTTCACTTCCCTCCACCATCTCGGTGAGGCCCTCTCCTCCAGCAAAAGGAGACACCACCCCAAGCTCCTTCAGAACGTCTGAGACCTCAAACCCAAAAGATACCTTGAACTTTGGGATACGAAACTCACCCACTTTCACAGCATAGTTGGGGAGGCACTCCTCCAAGAGTCCAGACTCAGACGAGAGCTTATGCATTAGAGACGGTAACCCATCCCTGGCATCTGGTAAGAAGATGTACATGCAGAAACGACGCCTATCATAAACATAATCATCATCATCGTCATCGTCATCGTCCCCTTGTTTATAGGATAGACTCAATACTTTGAAACCATCAAAGGCTTTCACACATTGTTTCTTCTTACTGCACATGAATGGGACTTGTACTGAGGTCCCATTAAGGAGGTGGAACTCGCCGTCCTTCGTCTTTGATGCATCAAACTTCTCATACCACTCTCCTTTGAAATACAAGGCATTTGCTAAAATGAACTTAGTTTCACTATTTGCTGCATCAGCAGGAAGAATATGTTTGATAAGACCCCGAGTCTCCTCTTCAACCCACAAATTCACATTATTAACAACTTCAATTGCCTGTATGTCAAAATAAGTCGTGAGAGACCATGTGTATGTACATTAGTTTTAAAAAGTCAATCGCAAAAGTCAGACTAAGAAGATTCAAATACAATTACTTGTATAAAAAGCTAATTTAAAAGAAAAAAGGATCAAAACCCCAAGCTACTCCGGTAGTAGTGTAGCTGTTAAACTTATTTTTCCGTCGCTTACAAAGAGTGACATTTGACTAAAGTGGCAAAATAAAGAAGGGATAATTTTACGTTAACTTTCCAAAAATATCCTTGATGTAATAGATAATACTAGAAAAACGTATATTGAGATATATAGGGTATGAAAAAAATAATGGGTAAAAATGAGTTTTTAATATAAATCGGAAGAAGATTGTGGGACACCATTTTTTGAAACGTGAATGACGGAGGGAATATTACTTATTCTAATTATAATCATATCAAATTAAAAAAGACTTTAATTATAACTACAATCAGATCAGATCAGGTGACCGAAACACAGACTAAGGTACCTTGTTGTGGAAATCGACGGATTGATAATCAGCCTTGTAAAGAGTCTGCGCCACATGCTTGAAAGAAGCCTTCAAAGGCAGAGTCTGGTCGACCCACGCGCCGTTGGCCACCGATATTTGGGGGCCGCCGAGAGGGCGGCCGTCGGCGAAGGCGGGGAAGAGGACCTCTGAATATAATGCGTGGAGATCTTCGGCGGAGTTTGATTTGAGGAAAGCTAGGAGCTCGTCGAGAGTGCGGCTCTTGGAGCCGGCGGCGATGAGGCTTAACATGAGGTGGATTGAGATAGGGGAGAAGACGAAGTTGGATTCCGTTTTGGCGACGGCGGAGAAGACGTGATTGGCCAGCTTCAGGAGACGTCGGCGTGATTCCTCATCGCTTCTTCGAAGTCCCTTTCTTCTTCCGAGTCCATTTTCTATCGCCGGATTGTGTTTCTGCAAGGAAAGAAACCCAAAAAGAAAGATAGAGAAGATGGCGACGGTGAGAAACTGGGATTGGATACTACCGGCCGGGGTTTTAAAGGAAGTGAGGCTTCAGTCCTAATCCCGCCGGGGTTAGGGTTTTGTTAGAGTCCTAGGGTTGGTTAGAATCCTTATTTATTGATGACTCCTCCTTATGACCGTACGTCCGTGTTTGGATCTTATTTTAAAATTAGTAACATAACGTGTCTTTTATGATCTGATGACTTAGGGCCTGTTTGGGAATAGCGTTAGAGTTTAGCGTTAGCGTTTTGGATAAAATCTTAACGGTGCAGATTACTTTGAAAACACTAACGCTAAACGCTGTCCGTAGATAGCTTTTTCAAAACGCTAACGTTATTCCCAAACAGGCCCTTAATTACCATTTTTATTACTCCCTCTATATTTCTCCTACCATTTTTAATTGCCTATGTTAATATTTTGAACATTAATTGCTTCAGTATTGTACACGGGATCGTGGTTGAATTGGAATTGAAATTTTTGGGAGTGAATTAGATGAAATTGATTTCTAATTCAATTCAAAATTCCTTCTTTGATACGGAGTATAATAAATGAATTTAGTTTCAAATTTTTTGCCTTGTAGCATAAGATTTAATATAGAATTAATGGCCCCGTTTGACATCAGCGTTAGAGATTAGCGTTAGCGTTTTGAAAAAGTATCTGACAGTAGCCTTTAGCGTTAGCGTTTTCAGAATTAATTTACACCGTTAAAATTTTATTTTAAACGCTAACGCTAATCGAAAAAGCTATTTCCAAACAAGGCCAATATCAAATTGTACTTTTTCAATTTCTCTCAATAGATTAATTCAAACACTTAGTCACTATATTCTTAAAAGCAGGGGAATTATTTTCCCGCCCAATGCACTCATCTCCTGCACCGTCGATATTAAGGAACAAACAAAATCTACGGCTATAATTGGTTGTGTAATATTACCTATTTAGAATGATAAATTAAAGGAAATTTTGCATGCATAATCACTCTATTCTGATCAAAAAGGAAGGAAGTAATTTGTTTCCTAACCAATTTCACCTAATAACTTGATTGTGTGAAAAAAGGAATGGATGGTGCAGTAGATTTTTTATATTTTGTTTCCTTTTAAATAGGTAATTATTTGCGCCTAATTATTACTATTATTATTATAATTACTTGGAATAATTTATGCCTGATTATTTTATCAAAAAGTAATTCTTTATGCCTAATTAAATAGGTAATTATTTACTTAATCACTCTATTCTTAAAAGGAAATACTTTTAAGAATAATAGAATGATAAATTAAAAGAAATTTCGCATTCATAATTACTTAATTCTGATAAAAAAGAAAGGGACTAATTTCACAAACAAGATCAACGTTGTTTCTTTTTTAGAATAATTTTGCATGCATAATTACTTAATTACTCTATTCTTATTTAGAATGGTAAAATATAAAAGAAATGTCACAGTAATACATAGAAATGGTGGTACATATAGTAAGTGTTGAATAAATAAATGATAATTAAATCATAAATCACCGTGTAATAAGAATAGATCATGTATTACCGTGTAACAAGAATAATAATAATAATATATCGTGTAATAATATTACCGTATTTAATCATTATTAATTTATTACCATGTAAGCAAAATGATAATAATATACTGTGTAATAAAATTACGGTACTTAGTCATTATTATCGTCTAATAATTCTAATCTAAGAAGCTTTCAATTTAAAAATGTTTCCATTTAGAGAACATGTCCAAACTTAATATTACCGTATTTAATCATTATTAATTTATCTCGGTGTTATTATGTTAAGAAAATAAGCTTTCAATTTAATTATGTTTCCATTTAGAGATTCGATGCCAAATATTTTATGAAGAAATTTAAATATATAAGTTTATTCATTTAAGGAAGGCACAATTATAAAAAAAAAAAAAAAAATAATAAAATAAATTAAATATAAAAAAATGTCAAAGTAATACATAGAAATGGTGGCACATATGTTAAGTGTTGGATATAGAAATAATAATTAAATCATAAATTACTTTGTAGCAAGAATAAATCATGTATTACCGTGTAGAAAAAATAATAATACGAATATACCGTGCAATAATATTAATGTATTTAATCATTATTAATTTATTATTGTGAAAGAATAATAATAATAATATACCGTGTAATAATATTATTATACTTAGTTATTATTATCGTGTAATAATTCTAACCAAATAAGCTTTCATATGTTGAACAATCAACCACTAGTTAATAACTTACCCGGCAAAATAGATGCATGGAAATAGAAAAATACTTTAATTTTTTCATACTTTAAATACAATCATTCTCAATCACTTTTCGTAAATAGCCTCTTTCAAATTTTTTGAATGACTTACACTCTCTTGAGTTCTTAAATAAGATTCATGCTTCCGGAGTAGAAAATCATGAAGAAGTCTTTAAATAAATAAATGTTTTAAAAGTTTGATATATAAGAATTATACGAGTAATGTAGTTTATAAAGAAGTCTTTCCTTATTTGTAAAACAATTAACTTTTGTACCATAAAATAATAAAATATTTATATTCTACTCCCTCCGTCCCGAAAGAAGTTCCCTTATTGACTTTTTGGAAAATTAAGGGATAGATATTTTGGTGTTGACTTTCCAAAAATACCCTTGATGTGATTGATAAAAGTAAGATGCGATAGATAGATTATTAGTAAAAAGGTATGATGTGATAGATAGGGTATAAAAAAGTAAGTGCTAAAAGTAGTTTTTTAATAAAAAAAGGAAGAAGTTTGTAGGACAAAGAAAAAATGAAAGGGGAAGATGTTTCAGAGACGGAGGGAGTATTAAACAAGAAATTGTAATCTTTAAAAATGATCTTAATTTAGTAATATAAGTATGACCCGTGCAACGCACGGGAGTGATGCTAGTTGTTTTAGTTGGCCGAATGTTGAAAAAATTGGTAAAATTCTTTCTTGTGTTTCAAAATTTAAAATATACTTCTTCAGTCTTTGAAAAGGTTTTCCTTATTGACATTTTGGAAAATTAAAGGAGAGATATTTTTGTGTAGACTTTCCAAAAATATCTTTGATGTGATGAATAAATTATTAGTAAAAAGGTATTATGTGAAAAGTAAGGTATGAAAAAGTAAAAGGTAAAAGTGGGTTCTAAATAAATAAGGGAACATCTTTTGGGGACAAAAAAAATAAAAAAAGAAAATCTTTTAGAAATCACCATAAATAGGACTAAAACATTGAGAAAAGTACAAAAATAGGACTTTCATATTTTTTTCTCGAAATAAGACTTTACACTGTGGTAATGTGACACTGTACTTGTGCATATTACTATACTTTTTTTGTAATGTACATGACCATGTTTGGTAATGTTAGTTCTATTTTGGAATAAAAACATGGAATTCCTATATTGATATATATATTCAATGTTTTAATCCTAATTTGGTCATCTTTCTACCAAATTCATCTTCAATTATTTTTATTCCCGAATGCATTGGTCCGTTAAAGAAAGTGCAATGACACAAGAGTCCTCTAAGAGCATGGGCAATGGTGAGACAAAAATGAAATGCCACACGCTGACATGGTATATTTTAACTAATAAAAATTAGTTTAGTCAACGTGTGTCACATGAGTGGAGTGACAAATTCTACCATGGCAAGTAATATCCACACCCCATATCTACTCTCCAATCCTTAAGAATAAAAATAAATACTAAAAAAATAATATGCATCACTCCTTAAAAAATGACTCACACATGCCACGGGAATCGGGTGGAACCCTTTGGAAAAGCAAGGCAACACGCCTTAATATGCTGATGTGGCACGGTGTGGAATCCTTTTGGATCGCCACTGCCGGTGCTCTAGGGCAATGGGCGAGGAGGGATTTTTCCGTTTGTGACCAATGGTGAATAATTAACCAAGAAGAGGATTAATCAGAGTCCCAATCAAGAGAATGACTCCTGTCGAATCTTCCCGGATGAAATAGAGAAAGGGGTGGTCAGCTACGAAATCCTCATCGGGGAACAGGGCCATCATCTCTTCGTCCTCGGTAGTGGCACACGCAGCTTCTGTGCCTTCCTCATTAACCTCAATAAAAGACTTGTGGAATATTTTTGAAACATAGAGCGCTTCATGTTCCACCATCTCAGTGATGCCCTCAACTCCAAGAAAAGGAGACACCACCCCAAGCTCCTTGAGAACCTCTGAGACCTCGATTCCAAAGGATAACTTGAACTTTGGGATGCGAAACTCGCCCACTGGAACGGAATACATGGGTAGGCAACGCTCCAATAGCCCAGGATCACAAGTGACCTCATGCATCAAAGCTGGCAACCCATCCTTGGCATCTGGCAAGAAGATGTACATGGAGAAACACCGTTTATCCTCTCCTCGCTTATAAGGAAGTCTCAATACTTTGAAACCTTTATAGACTCCCACACATTGCTCATTCCTAGTGCTCATGAATGGGACTTGTACGGAGCTTCCGTTGACGAGGTGGAAGTCACTAGTCTTTGTCTTAGACGCGTCGAATTTCTCAGCCCAACGCCCTTTGAAATACAAGATATTTGCTAAAATGAGGCGAGTTTCGCTGCTAACTCCATCAACAGAAAGTATATCTTTGATAAGACCGCGAGTCTTTTTCTCAACCCGCAAATTTACCTGTTTAACCACTTCACTTGCCTGCACGGGGAGATAGATAGAGAGAAGATCTATTTATAAGCCTCATTGGCAATCCCAAAGTAAAGAAAAAAAGGAGTCTTTGCAATATGTAAATTTCTTAATTGTAGTCCATTCATCCCAAGAGAAAAAACACACAAATTGCAACTCTGTAGATTATAAAGTGACCAAATTGGGAGTTGAAATTGTATTTTCTGAGGATCTCGCCGTCTTAGGAAAGACGATTTGAAGAATTTAGAAAATCAACAAATTAATTGCAATCCAGAGAAAAAGAAGAAGAAGAAAAGAGAAGTAAATTTTTAAACCCTAACATACCTTGTTCTTGAAATCGACGGATTCAGAAGCGGCCTTATAAACATTCTCCAGGACATGCCTGAAGGAATCCTTCAAAGGCGGCAGAGTCTGCTCGATCCACGCGCCGTTTGAAAGCGACAGTCGCGGGCCGCCAACACGGTGGCCGTTGGCGAGGACGGGGGAGAGGACCTGAGAGTAGAAGGCGTTGAGATCGTCGGCGGACTTGGAGTTGAGGAAAGCGAGGAGCTCGTTGAGCGTTGGGCCCTTGGAGCCGGCGGCGATGAGCCCCAATATGACGCCGATTGAGAGAGGAGAGAAGACGAGGTTCGATTCTGTGCTGGTGACGGTGGAGAAGACGTGATTCGCTAGCTTCAAGGTGACGCCAACGTGATTCCTAATCGATTCTTCCACGTCCATTTTCACTGGATTTAATTCCTGATAGGGGGGCTTTGCTCCCTAGGTTTATTCAATTCTCTCTACGAGGTTTTTAAAGAAATACTGGGGGAAATAGATTTACAAATCGGGCTTTGCTCCCTAGGTTTCTCGCGCACTAGTCTAGCTAAGTATTGTGCTTGGGTCACTGTGATTTATCTCCTCTTACAAACCCGTCGGGTCGGGGGTGAAGGGCGCCCTGGGTGAGCGATTTCACTTTTTGGAGAATGAATTTCCTATATTTAAAAATAAGTACGGAGTAAATTCTTGCCTTTCTTGGCATGATTACCAATTTTATTCTATTACCAAATCTAAAATAAGTACTCTTTCCCCAAAAAAATTATTCCAATATCTGAATTGAAAATGGTCGTATAGGAGAACAACATCTGAATTGTAATAAGGCTCCGTTTGGTATGTGGAATTCAAATTATGGAATTAGAATTGAAGACCTCAATTCCAATTATGGTGTTTGCTAGCAAAAAAATTATGTTGATTTGAAATTGATAGTACAAAAAATGAATTTGAATTGACAGAATTCAATTCTTTGGAATTGAATCTCATGGAATTTCAATTTCAATTCAATTCCAATTACGTCAATTCCGTATATCAAACGGACCCTAAAGATAAATTATCTAAATAGAACTAAAACATAATGAGTTTCTCAATATGGGACCATATGTTTTTATTTTCCAATGTAGGGCCATTGGTATTATACATTAGTCATTATTTAACTAAATGTCCAGCATCACTTGGACATTATTGTTCGTACTGATCATTATTAAGTCATATTTAGAGAATAAAAAAGTTTAAGTCCTACATTAGAAAGTAATTTATGTTTTAGTCCTATCTAGTACAAATTTCACTTGCAATAAATGAATAATAATGATGATATTCGATAAAGATATTTGTTGCTTTTCCTGATAATGATACTTTATATATATGAGACCAAGAGCCCAATAAACTTAACCTTCCTACCCACCTTGAACCCATCTCCCAACTCTTTCAATTTTATCACCACAATCTTGCTTCATTTTTTTTTAATTCTAATGGCAAAAAAATTGAGGATGAAATTGAAGGGAGTAGGAGGTGAGTGTGGGTTCTTTCCAGTTTCCAGGCCAGAGTTGGGGGGATTACCAAGGTGTTTGGGGGCTTCGAACCTCAATTTTAGTAGCAATTTTTGACAGACAAAAAATATTAACCATGAGATTTTAAGAGATTTTCAACTTTGAAGAAAAAACGTAACTTCATTATTGAATGTGAGTTTATTTTCTCTCCTTTGTACATGCCGAATAATAGCATATATAATTACGGAGTTTTATTGAACAAAGCATGAGTTTAGTAGTGAACCACATGTATATTGATTGAGCTTGACGTACACCCACGTACTCTTATCTTAGACTCGTATTAGTAATTTAGTACAATAAATTAGATAATGGTACAGCCGAATAGACGAGCAGCAAAGGATTTTGGGTTTTGTGAGTTAACAAGGACGGATTTTGGCTTATGTGAGTTGTGATTAACCAAAAGAGGATCAATCACATTCCCGATGAAGAGAATGACTCCGGTTGAATCTTCTCGAATAAAAAAGAGAAAGGGATGATCTGCCACAAAATCCAACGGTTCTTCCCTCGAAACTCCCCTTGTAGCAATTGCTGCGGTGGCAGCTGAAGCTTCTGTGCCATCTTCATTGACCTCAATAAAAGACTTGTGGAATATCTGTGAAACATAGAGTTTAGTCCTGCCGTCCACTATCTCGGTGAGGCCCTCTCCTCCAGCAAAAGGAGACACCACCCCAAGTTCCATCAGAACGTCCGAGACCTCAAACCCAAATGACAACTTGAACTTTGGGATATGAAACTTACCCACTTTAACTGGAATAGAGGGAAGGCAACGCTCCAATAGCCCAGAATCAGAAGAGACCTTCTGCATCAAAGATGGCAACCCATCCTTGGCATCCGACAAGAAGATGTACATGGAGAAACAACGTTCATCCTCCCCTTGTTTATAGGGTAGCTTCAATACTTTGAAACCATTAAAAGCTTTCACACACTGTTTCTTCTTACTGCACATGAATGGGACTTGTACGGAGCTCCCATTAAGGAGGTGGAACTCGCCGTCCTTCGTCTTTGATGTATCAAACTTCTCAACCCAGTCTCCTTTAAAATACAAAGCATTTGCTAAAACGAAATCAGTTCTACTGTCGACGACACCAGCAGGAAGTATCTCTTTGATAAGACCACGGGTCCCCTTTTCTACCCACAAATTCACCTCTTTGACCACTTCATTTGCCTGCCCAATCAAGGAGATATATATGTAGGGAAATTTACGTAAATAGCATGCAGTAAAACATAATACTTTCCCAAAATAGCATCAGATGTATTTTTTTTCCCAAGTTAGTACTTTTAGTCATTATCCATTAGTGCTAGACATTATGAACATTATGAAATGCTATTTAGAGAATAAAACAATTTAAATGTTATTTAGGACAATGATTTAAGTTTTAGACTTTTAGTGAACACACAAGACGGTTATATTATACTCCCTCCGTCTTTAAATAAACTTCCGTTTTTGACTTTTTGGGAAATTAAGGGAGGAATATTTTGGTGTTGATTTTCCAAAAATACTCTTGATGTGATGTGTAAAAGTAAGATGTGATATGTAGATTATTAGTAAAAAGGTATGATGTGATAGGTAGGGTATGAAAAAGTAAGGGGTAAAAGGGGTTTTTTAAGGGAAAATAAAAATTTATTTGGGGACAAAGAAAAAATTCAAAGAAAAAACGAAAGAGAAAGTTTATTTAAGGATGGAGGGAGTATTAGAGTGAATAATTCAATCTAAACTACGGAGAACTTACCTTTCTGTGGAAATCGACCGATTGGCAGGCGGCCTTGTAAACGGTGTCCGCGACATGCTTGAAGGAAGTCTTCAAAGGCAGAGTCTGCTGGATCCACGCGCCGTGTGCCGCCGACAACCGCGGGCCTCCGGCAAGACTGCCGTCGGCGAAGACGGCGGAGACGACCCAAGAAAAGAATGCGTTGAGATCGTGGGCGGAGTCGGATTTGAGGAAGGCGAGGAGCTGGCGGAGAGTCGGGCCACCGGAGCCGGCAGCGAGGAGGCCCAATACGACGCTGATTGAGAGAGGGGAGAAGACTAGGTTGGATTCTGTTTTGGTGACGGTGGAGAAGACGTGATTTGCAAGCTTGAGGGAGACGTCGACATGATTCCTCAATGATTCCGGCGAGTACATTTTCACTGCCTACAAAGAGTAATGGGAGGAATGAAATGAAAGAAGACAAGATCGAGTAAATATTTAACCTACTCCGTCCTACTGTCTTTTTCCACTTACCTTTTAGCACATCATCCAATGCACTTCTTTAATCCATTTTATCTTGTAATTTGTATATTAAAAAATTATAAAAATTATATATTAATAATCTATATGTTAAGATGAATCAAACAAGATCACACATGACTATTTTCAAACTTACACATTGAGAGAATTTGATGAGTCAAAGTGCTTAGATGAACAATTCCAAGTCAAATATGGACAAAGATAGTGGGAAGGAGGTAGTATTTATAAGCAATGCTAGGGGTACACCAAAAGGTGTACCCCAAATGTACACCACCCCCTTCTCTACCACATATTTTTATTTGATTTTTACTTACTTATTTTTTTTAAATTTTTTTGCCTTTTTTAGTAGACAAGGAGAGAGTGGGGGACATATGGAGTACACTAAAGGTGTACCCCTAGTATTTTTTCTTTATTTATTGATGTTCTTTATAATATGATGATTATTCCCTATTCTTTCCCTCCCGTCCACGTACGGGCCGGGTCACTTACACATTCTTTCCCTCCCCTCCAATCTAAGATAGGGATTCCCCTCACGATTCGTTGCCTCCAAATTCAAAAATGGCTTTCCTTATATCCTATTACTACCTCCGTCTCATTCTCTTTGTTCACTTTTGAATTTTGAAATTGTTCATCTAAGCACTTTGACTCATTAAATTCTCTCAATGTGTAAGCCTAAAAATAGTCATGTGTGATCTTGTTTGATTCATCTTAACATATAGATTATTAATATATAATTTTTATAATTTTTTAATATACAAATTACAAGATAAAATGGATTAAAGAAGTGCATTGGATGGTGTGCCAAAAGGTAAGTAGACAAAGACAGTAGGACGAAGGGAGTACGTATTACTTAGATAAAATAATATTTTTAAATAAATTTTAAAAATCAATCTAATTAAGTTATTTTTGTATCAAAATCAATCCAAAGTCAAAACTAACTTTGGGATGCATTTGAAGAGCGTGGGGGCGTGTTCGGTTCAGCGCGGAGTGGGGGCCGGGGTTTACTTAAGGGTTAGGAATCGGCCTCTTAGATATATTATAAATTTAGTTTAATTAAATTTATTTTAAAATATAATTTTGAAGTACCAAACAAGTCAAATCGTGACAAATTTTTAGGAAGGGAGTGAATATATAGAATTGATGATCAGCTACGAAGTCTACCTCTTCTCCCGTTGGGCCCAAGGAATGCTCATCTCTTCCACATAACTTTTTGATACATAATTCCAAAAGAGCTAAAAATTTAAGTGAAATTTGTACTAAATAGGACTAAAACATAAATCATTTCCTAATGTAGGACTTACTTTTTTATTTCTTAAATAAAACTTAATAATGACTAGTGAGAAGAATAATGTTTAAGTGATGTTGAACATTTAGTTGAATAATGACTAATAGATAAATGACCAATGGTCCTACATTGGAAAATAAGAACATGGTCTTATATTGAGAAAGTCATTAAATTACCCAAAATTTAATGGATGATGAATGAATGTGCTTCTAATGTATTCTAAGGCTATTATTAAACAATGTCTTCTCGAGATAAGAGTATAAAATATTACTCCCTCCGTCCCCCTGTATTTGTCCACATTTGACTTTTGAAACTGTTCATCTAAGCACTTTGACTCATCAAATTCTCTCAATGTGTAAGCCTAAATATAGTCATGTGTGATCTTGTTTGATTTGTTTTAACATATAAATTATTAATATATAATTTTTATAATTTTTTAATATACAAATTACAAGATAAAATGGATTAAAGAATTGCATTGGATGGTGTGCAAAAATGAAAGTGGACAAATACAGGAGGACGGAGGGAGTACATTGTTCAATACTTAGCATAAAAAATGTTAATAAGTTTTAATTGAACAAATGTATGTAGGAAAAGATATTATTTGGAATAAAATAGATGAAATTTTACACAGAATTTAAGACACGTGAGACAAGTAAAAACAAATTTATTATTCTAAGCATATCATATACACTATTAGAAGATTAATACAAATATAATTCTACTTCGTACAAACTATAAACATATCGTGTACGAACTCAAATACTAGCTAGGTAGCACAAAAGTCATAACAATAAGGTGTAATTAAACATTTCCATTGTTGCAATAAAAAAATTCATCAAAAACATCTAATGAAAACTTTATACTCCATCCATTTGGAAAAACACTGCCCATTTGGATTTGTGGCAAAAATAAAGAAGTGTTAAATTATAGTTGATTTCCAATTTTGCCCTTGATGTAATGAGTAAAAGTAAGATGTGATGGATAGATTATTAGAAAAAAGTATGATGTGATAGGTAGGGTATGAACAAGTAAGGGTAAAAATGGTCTTTTAATAGAAAAGGTAAGTATTTTGTTGGAAGTGAAAAAAAAATAGAATAGGAAGTGTTTTTGAGAACGGATGGAGTATACTCTGAGATAAACATCTGATAAACACTTGAAATCAAAAAACAATACAGTTCTAGAACATAATTTTTTTCGCCTCTTAATTCGAATAAAGATAAGCTTAGAACCTACCTAACACAGAGTACTAATTTAAAAAATAATAATAGGCCAGCAATGGTATTTGACTTTGTGTTATTGAATCTTCAAAATCATGTTAAGGCTAGCCTAGATGATTAATTAATGAAGAGGATTGATGAGAGTCCCAAATAAGACAATGGCTCCCGTCAAATCTTCCCTGATAAAATAGAGGAAGGGATGGTCTGCCACAAAATCCACCAACACCGGGCGTGGTCTCGGTCTCATGGCGCCGCACGCCATGCGAGCCAAGGTGACAGCAGCAGCTTCAGTGCCTTGTTCATTAATTTCGATAAAGGACTTGTGTATTACATTTGTGACATGGAGTCCGTATCCGCCGTCCACCATCTCAGTCATGCCCTCTCCTCCATCAAAAGGAGACGCCACCCCAAGCCTCTTCAAAATGTTTGAAAACTCTAAGTGAAATGACGACTTGAATTTCGGGATACGAAACTCACCCACTGGAACCGGGTGGTTGGGAAGGGAAGTTAGGCAACGCTCCAAGAGTCCGGGCTCAGAAGTGACCTTATGCACTAGAGATGGGAGCCCGTCCTCAGCGTCCGGCAAGAAGATGTACATTGAGAAACGACGCGTCTCATCATTCCCCTGTTCATAGGACATTCTCAATACTTTGAAACCATCAAAGGCTCTCACGCACTGTCCCTTCCAACTCCTCATGAATGGGACTTTTATGGAGCTCCCATCCAAGAGGTAAAAATCTCTGCGCTTTGTCTCTTTTGCATCGATTTTTTTAGCCCAGTCTCCTTAGAAATACAGTGCATTTGCTAAAATGAATAGAGTTCCATTGTCGACCGCATCGGGATTAAGTATCTGCTTAATAAGACCGCCGGTGTGATTCTTAACCCACAAATTAATATGATTAACCACTTCATTTGCCTATCAAGTCAAGAAGAAAAATTTCAGTGTTTTCAATCTATTTTATCTAAATATTAGTATAAAATAAACAAATAAAATTTACATATTTAAAAACTATATCAAAAATTGAATAAAACAAGTAGTAACAAGAATTTTTTATTTTATGGTATAGGTCATAAAAATATACAAATAAATAAAAGTACTCCATAAAGAAAGATATGGGAAGGCTAAACCCTAACGTATATACCTTGTTCATGAAATCGACCGGTTCAGAAACGGCTTTGTAAACATTCTCGACGACATGTTTGAAGGAAGCCTTCAAGGGCGGCAGAGTCTGCTCGACCCAGGCGCCGTTTGCTGCCGACAACCTCGGGCCGCCAAGGGGACTGCCGTCGGCGAAGACAGGGGAGAGGACCTGAGAATAGAAGGCGTCGAGATCGCCGGCGGAGTTGGATTTGAGGAAAGCAAGGAGCTCGTCGAGAGTGCGGTCCTTGGAGCCGGCGGCGAGGAGGGCCAATACGACGTTGATGGAGAGAGGGGAGAAGACGAGGTTGGATTTGGTTTGGGTCACGGTGGAGAAGACGTGATTCGCCAGCTTCATGGAGACGTCGACGTGATTCTTGATCGATTCTTGGACGCAGCCGGCGTCCATTATCACCGGATTCCTTGAGCTCAACATTGCTTTACTTCTCCGGGGCGGCGGCGGCGGCGGCGGGGTACTAGCGAGATCGTTAAAGGCGTAAGCTTTGGTCGCCTTATTTATTAGGGACCGGTTTGTTTGTTGAGGGTTTGGTTAGAATCCTTATTAGGTTTGAAATATTCCTTCAAACCTTTGGTCGATACAACTATATTCCTTTTAAAAAACCAACTCCTTAATGTAAGTTTTAAGGATAACATTAACATTTTGAAAATGTTATTTAGGAATAGCGTTTAACGTTAGTATTTCTAAGATAATTTATACCTTTGATTTTTCATCCAAAATGTTAATGTTAATGTCTAACCATATTCCGAAACAGGCCAAATGCTTATGTGGATTTGAAATTTGTAATGCAAAAAATGAATTGGAAATGGTGGATTCAATTTCATGGAATTGAATCTATTCAATTTCATGGAATTGAATCTGATAGAATTTTAATTCCAATTCAATTCCAATTCTATCAATTCCGTATACCTAACGGGCCTTTAGCTTACTCTTTCACATACAGTAAAAAAAGATTTGAATAAAACTTAGAACATGTATGTTATAAAACTAATCAAAGCAAAAAATAAAAACTAATTGAAACACACATAACTAAACTTGGTTCCCTAAAAAAAATTGGTAAACCTAAATTTTACATGTAGTACAATTAAACTAAAAATTCATAATTAATTAAGACACAGTAATAAAAGATTGTTCCTTGACTTCAGTGGCAAAAAGTTTACATTTCAATATTCGTGAGAAAGCTCGATAGCTCATCCAGATTCGATTCCAAACGGACGATGTAGATGCATCACATTAGGTCAGAGCATTATACGTCATTAGATTAAGAAAGTATGGAGATATATACTGCATTGTAGTAGACTCTATAATATGAAAGAATAGACGTAATATATATATATATATTATACGAAGTATATTTGCTGAACATAAGCTTGATAACAAATTATACTTTTAGACTTTAGCCTTTAAATTAAAACGAACATGATTGAAGATTAAAAAAAGAATCATTTTTGGAAAGACACAGTAAAAGAAATTGACGGGGTAATATTTGATAATAAAGGACTAAATATAAAAACTCACATGTTATAAACAACCAATTATGTAATTTATTTTATTTAAATCTATTTTCTCAATAGTAAATTTAAATCGCATTTTAATGTCTTTTTTATAGTTTGTAATCAATAAAAATCGACGTTTGATCTATAATTAAATGATATATCACTGAGATAAAATAATATTTCAAAATTAGTTTACAAGATCAATTTCATAAAGTTCTTTTTGGATCAAAGGCAAAGATTATCACTTTTGACTCAAAAAAGTCAAAAGTAATCAAATGCTCCTAAACAGAGGAAGTGCCAAATATCTTGGCTAAAAATGCAAAATTCAAAAAGTTTTATACTAACAATCTTAAGATTCTGAATTATGTCATTTCGTCCCAAAAAGATTTACTCCCTCCGTTCTCAAAAACACTTCCTCTTTCATTTTTTCCACTTCCAACAAAACACTTCCCCTTTCTATTAAAAAACCACTTTTACCCTTACTTTTTCATACCCTACCTATCACATCATACTTTTTCTCTAATAATCTATCTATCACATCTTACTTTTACCCATCACATCAGGGACAAAATTGGAAATCAACTATAATTTAACACTTTCTTTATTTTGCCCCCAAATCAAATGGGAAGAGTTTTTCCAAACGGAGGGGTACCTCTTTAGTATTATTACACCTCAATAATTTTTGTTTTTTGTAAGCTTTCATTGATCATTTGATTAAAAACACATTTTTCACTTTTTATTTCATTGAACTTTTGATGTAATTTTTAAATATATACGAAGTAATTTTTATTATCTTTATACAAATTTATATGCTATTGCCCCCTTGCCCCGCCTTTCCGTTTCTTTTTCATTATATTTTTTATATTTTTTGTACAGGTTGAGTCGGGAGTCTCTTGGAAACAGCATCCCTACTTCTGAGTAGGGGCAAGGTCTGCGTACACACACCCTCCCTACACCCTACTGTAGTGGAATTCAACTGGATTGTTGTTCTTGTTGTTATTGTTTCATTTTTTATTTTTTTAAATAAATTCAATAAAAAATATTTTTTTAGTAATAAAAATACTTGCAGGTATTAATAAAAATACATGAACATTAAATCAAAATTAACTAATCCTATTTCTACCCAATACTCGCCTTAATTGACCGTCCCAGCAACCCATATCCATTACCAAATTCACAGCTTCCTTCAACATAGCCTCGATAACTTCAGCTTCTCTGCCATCTCTACCACCCTCCCAAAGAATGAAAGCTTTCTTCTAATCCATCCATGGCCATGAAGATCCAAAAAAAAAAAGAAGAAGAAGCCAAGGAGCAAAAAAAATTCGGATCGGCACGGCAACCCGCTGTAGTGGACAGCCGCCGGTCCATCTCCACCGTGAGAACCGCTCCGCCTTAATAAAAATACTTACAGGTATTAATGACTGAACTGGTATTTTTGTTTTGTTTTTTTTGTTTTGTTTTTTGTTTCGGACATGAGCTTAGTCTTTTCCAGCTATGGTCACCACATTTCTTTATTTGGGTCAGATGGAACAAAATACGAAACCCATTTTGCATTTTTAGCAGTGGTGCATTAATTCTACGTAATTAGTGTTTAAAAGGCTAAAAGTGACATCTTTAAATCAACTGCAAGTCTAATACACTTCTCCATAGCTAAAACGAAAAGATGCGTCTTGCTATTTCTTACTCCATTTACAAGAATCTATATTTGTACAAGTCAACGTTTGCAGCATTTCACAGGGGAAAGTAAACTATGTGAAACTATTACAATGGGGGAATCCAAAAAAGGAAAGCATTCTAACCTTTTTTTTTCACCACTTGACATCCAGTGTCAGATGCTCTGGAGGAACAATGACAGACGGAAAGTTTGTGAAGGAAAGATTTGACATCAAACTGCTCCATGACAGCGAATCTACTTCGTCATAAGGCCGGAATTTCCTCACTGTTAGTGGCTTCAATAACCACCCTTCCCTGATTCCAGCCACCACCTCGAACCAAACACGTTCAGCATTCAGCCTTGTCCTCCACTCACCTAACGTACTCCACTGAGTGTCATTACCAGTGATATTTCTCTCCAATTCCATCTGGAACCGAACAACAATGGATGGCTTGATTCTGATTTTCAGGCCAAACCCTGTTTTTCTGTCGCTTCTACCACCCAAAAAGCTCTTCAGAGCATTTTCCAGTAATGTTGCACCCCGGCTAAGAGAATCAAACACAGAACTCTGTTTTCTGTGCACATTTCCTGTATAACACTTGTCTGGAAGCAACTCAATTGTGTCTCCAGATAAAAAATTGGTTTTTAGAGTTGAATTGGGGTTATGAGTCCTGTAGACAGTTACTAATGCAGGCCCTCTAACATGGATTGGGAGTGACGATAAACACGAGGAGTGAAACTTGCTCCTCAAATCAGTGAAAGCATTCCCATACGGTGGGCCGTTTGGAGCCGGAGTATGGAACACAGTTATTTCTTCAGAACCTTCCACTTCTAATGTCATGCCTTCACTTACAAGTATTTGTTTCAAGCCAGGAACTGAAGTGTTTGACTGGTTAACATGTTCAAGACATTAGTAACAGTGCCATAAAAGCAAATGAATGCCATTCTATCATACAGGTCAAACATATGTATGAACAAAAAATTGAGCAAAATGAATCCCATTTAATAATAGACTAATGTGCTGCACACATAGTTTTTCAGAAATCATTAATGCCTGTTTCGGAACTTAAACTTAGATTTCAAATCAAAATCTGGATTTGGATTTGGGCCGAATTCCTCTAATATTGAAGATTTACTATTTTTTTGGCTTTGGGGCATGATGAAATAAAGCAAAAAGGCTCCTTAAACTTTCGCGCTTCATTCAATAGTGAAGTACTCCCTCCGTCCCACTATATTTGTCCACTTTCATGTTTGCACACCATCCAATACGCTTCTTTAATCCATTTTATCTTGTAATTTGTATATTAAAAAATTATATATATTATATATTAATAATCTATATGTTAAGACAAATCAAACAAGATCACACATGATTATATTTAGGCTTACACATTGAGAGAATTTGATGAGTCAAAGTGCTTAGATGAACAGTTCCAAAAGTCAAAAATGGACGAATATAGCGGGACGGAGGTAGTAGTAGTTAGCCAATTCTTTCGACGCTCATCATGGTCATCTAGAAACAGCGACTCTATGTTTTAAACTTAGGGGCAAGAGTGCGTACATCGACCACTCCTCCCCCAACCTACAATGAGCAATGAAGGCATTGGGCAAAAAGGCCCCTTAAACTNCCCCCCCCCCCCCCCCGACCCTTGTAATTTGAAATACAAGAATTAAAATTTCCAAAAATCCAAATGAATTCCTAGTTTCCAAACACTATCTAGTTCATTCAATGGCCATTTCCTAGATCAGTTTTCAGTTAATCAGAATATGCCCATACAATTACAAGGGACCTTCAATCTTGAATCCAAAGAAATAATGTAATTACATACGGAGCGTATTAAGCAAAGAAGTTCATCGTACCGGCAAATTAAGTGTGAAATTATCATCTCCAGCAGCATACAATTCCAAGGGACCTTCAATCTTAAATCCATCAAGAACAGCATTGGATCCAACTTCTTTAACCAGACACTCAAAATCAGACCAATTCCTCTTCCCCAAAGACTCAAACTTGGTCCACTTGGGCACTTGATCGAACACCTTGAAGACTATTTCAGTCTTCCCCAACCTAACCCCAAACTCGTTATTCCTCACACTGCCATACTTGGCTCTCTTAGCATTCAGTTTTGAAACCCTGAGGCCCTCCAAGTCCCATCCCTCCCTCTTCGCAATCGATTCCAATATAGCCTGCACACCCACAACAAAATAACATCAATATACACGACCAACGATTTGAAATTCGCCGGAGTAGAACACTATGAAAGATTACTAAAGAGGGGACCTTTAAGAAGAGAGGAGGCTTAGAAGGAGAATCCGGAGGTTGAGAGAATAGGACGAAGGTGGATCTGGGGTAGAGATAGTGGGAAACGTTGAGCGGCGGTGGCGTAGAAGAAGCGGCGGAGGAAGCTAGCGTGAGGTTTAGGGTTTGGTAGTGAAGGAAGAGGAAGATATAAAGGTTGGATGATCTGCGGAGCATCGTGGATTTCTGTTCTTGCGACGATCGCCGACG